CTATACAAACAAGGCCCTGTGTGTACAGCTAGGCAGAGTGTGGAGATTCTATACAAACAAGGCCCTGTGTGTACAGCTAGGCAGAGTGTGGAGATTCTATACAAACAAGGTCCTGTGTGTACAGCTAGGCAGAGTGTGGAGATTCTATACACACAAGGCCCTGTGTGTACAGCTAGGTAGGTTGTAGAGATTCTGTACACACAAGGCCCTGTGTGTACAGCCAGGCAGAGTGTGGAGATTCTATACAAACAAGGCCCTGTGTGTACAGCTAGGCAGAGTGTGGAGATTCTATACAAACAAGGTCCTGTGTGTACAGCTAGGCAGAGTGTGGAGATTCTATACACACAAGGCCCTGTGTGTACAGCTAGGCAGAGTGTGGAGATTCTATACAAACAAGGTCCTGTGTGTACAGCTAGGCAGAGTGTGGAGATTCTATACAAACAAGGTCCTGTGTGTACAGCTAGGCAGAGTGTGGAGATTCTATACAAACAAGGCCCTGTGTGTACAGCTAGGCAGAGTGTGGAGATTCTATACAAACAAGGCCCTGTGTGTAAAGCTAGGTAGGTTGTAGAGATTCTGTACACACAAGGCCCTTTGTGTACAGCTAGGCAGAGTGTGGAGATTCTATACAAACAAGGCCCTGTGTGTACAGCTAGGCAGAGTGTGGAGATTCTATACAAACAAGGCCCTGTGTGTAAAGCTAGGTAGGTTGTAGAGATTCTGTACACACAAGGCCCTTTGTGTACAGCCAGGCAGAGTGTGGAGATTCTATACAAACAAGGTCCTGTGTGTACAGCTAGGCAGAGTGTGGAGATTCTATACACACAAGGCCCTGTGTGTACAGCTAGGTAGGTTGTAGAGATTCTGTACACACAAGGCCCTGTGTATACAGCCAGGCAGAGTGTGGAGATTCTGTACAAACAAGGCCCTGTGTATACAGCCAGACAGGTTGTTGAGATATTATACAAACAGGGTCCTGTGTGTACAGTTAGGCAGAGTGTGGAGATTCGGTACACACAAGGCCCTGTGTGTATTGCCAGGCAGAGTGTGGAGATTCTGTACAAACAATGCCCTGTGTGTATTGCCAGGTAGGGTATGAAGATTCTGTACTGACAAGACCTTGTGAGCATAGGCAGGTTGGGCACTGTAGATTCTGTACAGACAAGGCCCTGTGGACTTTCTCCAGTGCTGGTCTGTTAGGAAGGTGAACAATAGGTAAACAGCTGGTGTAGGATAATCTGTTCAGATAATCTGTGTGATGTAACAGCCAGTGTTGACTTTCCCAGCTATAAACCCATCAACTTAGTGGTATTTATACAAACACAAATCCCTGATTAATATATCAGCTGCATCAATAGACAGGTCAGAATAAGCATTCTGGGATTTACATTTGTCAGCTACACATTGGAGAAGTGAGGTATCTACAACACTTAAATGTTAATCCTAGAAATGACAGGTTTATATAGACGTTAAACATCCCTGTAGTCCATAATAACCTCTAACATAACATATAGTTAATTTAAGCCCTGATCCATGTCAGGGTTGGTAGGGGTACCAGCAACAGGTAGACAAAAATATTAACACACATATCAAGCATATCAGATAGAATGATAGCACTTTAATTACAGGAAATGTCTATACAAGAAACAGAACTGGATTTGAACCTCTACCTCAAAGACCGGTGACACAAGTTTGTCTTTAATTCTACCTGTTACTACATCAGTGTGATGTAACTGGTCACCTGAAATGTAGGAGTGACCACCATCAGTGTGATGTAACTGGTCACTGGTCACTTGTTATGTAAGAGTGACCAACATCGGTGTGATGTAACTGGTCACTTGTTATGTAAGAGTGACCAACATCGGTGTGATGTAACTGGTCACTTGTTATGTAAGAGTGACCAACATCGGTGTGATGCAACTGGTCACTTGTTATGTAAGAGTGACCAACATCGGTGTGATGCAACTGGTCACTTGTTATGTAAGAGTGACCAACATTGGTGTGATGTAACTAGTCATTTGTAATGTAAGAGTGACCACCATCAGTGTGATGTAACTGGTCACTTGTTAAGTAAGAGTGACCACAACGTCATCCTGACAAATATATACATATATCTTCAGATGAGAAACAGACGATGGGAGAAGACAAAATGGCCAGAGAGAACCAGGATGCAGACTTTTACATGTATCTGTATATTTGTAACTGTAGTAGCTGTTGCCTATCAATATTGAAGCTAGACAATGATCCTTTAAAATATAATGGTACCAAGTGTAGATCGGTTGGCCCGTTGTAGAAACTAAGTATGAGAAGGCTGGCGCCCAGCTGTCACTACCAAGTGCAAAAGAGGTACACTATGTACCAACCAATAACAAGGAATGTGAGAGGCATGGTCTGTAATGTAAGTTGGGCATAGTCAGATCTCCTCCCTACTAGCTATACAACAGTTTTATATCTGATCATATAAACTAGCAAGGTGCCTATAGTAAGGGAGGTGAGAGAGGCTAGACCCAGCAATAGCTGGACCTTTACTGATGTGGGCTAATTTTAGTGATAGGAGATGAGACCAGCTGTCTGGTCTCTGTAAGGATACAGGATGGGTGTAACCCTCATAGTTCTGTGGTTACAGAATCCTTGCTCTAGTAGGAAATGGTCCAGCTAGGGGGTTAAACAGCTTCAGCAAGTCTAGCAGGGGGTCAAATGCTTCAGTCTGTCCAGCAGGGGGTAACATGCTTTAGTCTGTCCAGCAGAGAGTTTGTCCAGCAGGGGGTAACATGCTTCAGTCTGTCCAGTAGAGAGTTTGTCCCACAGGGGGTAACATGCTTCAGTCTGTCCAGCTGGGCATTTGTCCAGCAGGGGGTAACATGCTTTAGTCTGTCCAGCGGGGAGTTTGTCCAGCAGGGGGTGAAATGTTCTAGTTTGTCCAACAGGGAGTTTGTCTAACAGGAGGTAAAATGCTCTAGTCTGTATGACCATTAGTTCAGCAGGGAGTTTGGTAATTACTACAGCAGGTAGTCCAGCAGGTAATAAGTCAAGCTGGAGGTCCAACCCTCTAGTCTACAGAACAGTACATATGATTGTATGACCACTTTATCAATTATTCCAGACACAAAAATCTGTTATTTGTCACCATTTCACTATCCAGTCAATCATGTCACATTCTGGTAAACCAAGATGGAGTCTGTTCAAGCATGTCACACTCGAATCCACCATGTGATAGCCCACAGCATCATGTCACATTCCAGTCTGCCATGTCAAAGAGTCCAGTTCACCACGTCAAATATTCCAGTCCGCCACGTCAAAGAGTCCAGTCCGCCATGTCAAAGAGTCTAGTCAACCATGTCACATAATGGTCCATCGAGTCTAGACTCAGGTCCACCATCTGAAGATCAAGTCCACCATATGAGACTCCTGTCCATCATGTCACACTGAAGCTCAACATTTCAGACTAAGATTCATCATGTAAAGTTCACTATGTCTAATTTCAGTCCATCATGTCACACTCAAGTTCACCATACCACATTCCAGTCCATTATATTTAAACACTCAAGTTCACCATGTCAGATTCTGGTCCATAATACCATGCTCAAGTTCACCATGTCAGATTCAGGTCCATAATACCACGCTCAAGTTCACCGTGTCAGATTCAGGTCCATAATAACACGCTCACGTTCACCATGTCAGATTCTGGTCCATTGATCACACTCAAGTTCACCATGTCAGATTCTGGTCCATAATACCACGCTCAAGTTCACCATGTCAGATTCAGGTCCATAATACCACGCTCACGTTCACCATGTCAGATTCAGGTCCATAATACCACGCTCACGTTCACCATGTCAGATTCAGGTCCATAATACCACGCTCAAGTTCACCATGTCAGATTCAGGTCCATAATACCACGCTCACGTTCACCATGTCAGATTCTGGTCCATTGATCACACTCAAGTTCACCATGTCAGATTCAGGTCCATAATACCACGCTCACGTTCACCATGTCAGATTCTGGTCCATTGATCACACTCAAGTTCACCATGTCCTTTGGTTATACATTTTGAAATTTGAATATTGAAATACAAGGCATTTCTTAATACCATCATTCATTATAACACAGTGGAAATTCTTAATAAATAACTTCATTGATTTTCACTCATCTATCAGTATTTCAAGTAAACAACACAATCTCAAATAATGACCTATATAGATTTATCCTAACATAGAAACATAGCTTCTGTTATTTCGCTGAAACACATCAAGACTAAATAAAGTGATTCTATCTGAGAGGTTTATCATTGCTTGAATCAATGTATTTACATATGGTAATACACACTACTGACTGTCCCTGTTGAGGCCATATACATTTGTATTTTATGAGTTATACACTTAGTTATTCTACCACCAGATCTGATCAATATGCCGGTTCATCAACAAATGACCTCAACCCTCTGAACCCTGGCCAGGTGGCAATGGAGAACCCTGACTCATTCTTACAACAATACTTTTATTACCACAGTATGAATACATTTATACCGAAAAAAAAGAGAAATATATCACATTTCAATTCAACATAGATCGTTCGCCGATTTCATTTCATGATTGTATATTCCGTAATGAATATCGATAAGTTAATGCATCTTTCCTGATTGTACACACACCAGTCGGACAGATACCAAATAATCTCCCTCCAAAATTATCCTTTCGTGTTGCCGACTGCAACATCAGCAAGCTCCCAGCATCCGCAAATATTCCAAACTCGCAACACGTTCCGCCATCTTGAATCCCCTAATTAACATGCGTGTATTGTCTTTACTTGATAGTAAACAAGAGTGATTTGTTGTAGATAAATATGGAGTCTACACCTGGGGGTAAAGAAGTGCTAGTTTAACTGAGATCGTATGTAATAGTGGTTATGTGACAATCCACTGCAGTACACAGGACTCCCGTAATCTGGAAACATGCGACCATTTACCATTATTGACAGTAGAGCCTGTTACTTCACTTACCCATTTTGCAGCTACTCCTGTAATGTCCAAGACTGATTCGGTAAAATCACATGTCCCACTAGAATTTTTATCCACGAGGCATGCTTAGACCATCAACACTACAAACTATTATACTCGCATCTCCGTCAGGAAGTGCCCCTATGTCAATACGGTATTGGACCAGTCCACTCCCGCGCACCTTGCAGGGAGATCAGGGTGTCGATAACTGTATTGGTAAAATTTGGTTCTTGCACCCTGCAGGTGTGGATGGGCCCTTTGGTGATACATATGTATAAGTCCCTGATAGGTATAAATCACTCCTTAACTTTATAATTACCATTATATCATGATATCGTTTCATTCAGAGGCACTGCCGAGTATGTACATCATGTGTCAATCAATTTTCCCCCGCCCCTTTCCCTGTTAGTTAGCGGTAGTGTCGCACACCTGTTACGTTAGACAGGCGGAGAGCACGATGTTTTCCATACTGCTAACTGGAGCGTGTGGTATTGTTTTACTGATTATAACTGGATATTTGGTCAAGTGCAGGTAAGCCAATCATCATATTCCTTCCATAATTCATATTTTCAGAATGACTGATAAACACAAACATAACCGTTAACCTTTACTTTGTTCAAATTAATTTATATTTTGTTTACATTTATATTAAATGTGTCTTGGGTTTACAAATCTTACTGAAGTAGACAGTTATTAGCTAGTAATTAATTAGATAAACGCATAATTCCATCATTGCTAATTGAATGTTATCTATGGTGTGCTAGTTTTTTCCTTCACTAATTAGCACGCAAACACACTCGTGTTTATAACACTAGATATGATATTTACATCATCACAAAAGTCAATGTTTTAACACTTCTTTGTTCATCTCCTTTCAATACAGAAAATTTGGATCTGAAACTAATAAGTCAGTAAACCAACAACGTCTGTGTTGATATTCTGTTTTTATCGGCTCCCACGGTGCTGTATGGGGAAAGGGCTAACATTTTTAAGTGATATCCTAAACAGTTTTCATCTCATTTATCTGTTATCAGAAATATGGATGTTACGTTATTAAACTTCCACCAAGCTGAACATGCACTTACTGGGTTGGACTGTTTAAGATTTCGCGATTGGTTTGCTGATACGTAGACGAGTAGAAAAATTACCACATTTTCTGTAATAATTACCCTTCTACTACAACACTAGAGAGAGACTCTTTCACTATCATCTATATTTGGCCTACGGTTTGCCTGCAGACAATCTTATTATGACGTGGAAAAGATCATCTAACATATGTTTATTTAAAAAATCACACAAATGATTCTCATTATCTGTTACCTTACATTTGATAGTAATCAGCCAGAGTAGTATTTCTCAGATAAATTTGTCGGTATGACATTCACGCATACAGAATCCTGTCGGTGAGTGCGCGTCACAACACAATAACTTCTCAACTTCAACATTTAATCAATTGAAATCAAGCATTGTTCCCGAGTGTGCGCTGAGGTTTTCAGTTTTATAATACTGATCGTTCAGTGTGTTAGATACGGTAGAGTGACGTTTACATTGGAAGGTCATTGACAGGTCACTGAAAGGTCAGTCTGCTCTCACCTTTTTCGTTGCAGATGTGGAACGTAAGTGTCCTGTTAAAACGTCCGAAGCGACCCCTCATTTACCAATTATCTGACATTTCATTTGGGTTTTTTTTCGTATAATGTCACTTAATTTTAATCGCACCCTCCGCCATCGGGAAGTCTATATATCTGTTCGTCTGCTATAGTAAATTTATTCTGCCACATGGGTAAGATATAAAAATGAACATGACTAGCCACTTTTTGTATTTATCTACTGTCGAACATGACACTCGTCCGTTGTCTTATTGTCTGCTTAACGGTCGCCCGGTGTCTAATTCTTGTATCGCTCGTCGGAGTTTATACTTTCCACCTTTGAAAGTCTCGGCACCGATTTTCTGGAAATCAAGACACATATCGTTATAATTGCAGGCATTATCTTTTAAAACAAATGTAAGTTATGTAGATTTCCTCTCAGGGGCCACACGAACTTGCCACATGCGGTGAACGTGTTCATTCAAATCTTCATCTTTAAGCGTAAAAAATCAATGGTGCATTATATACCCTCGGAACTGTCATTCCGCCTGGAGAAAGGAAAGATGTCTAATTAGTGGGTATGTCGAGATGTTACACGTGGTTTCGGGGTTTGTAATGGAATGACAGTTTTAGTGAAAATCGGGTATTTATAGAAAAAAGCAACTCTACGATATCAAAATGAGTATTTATCTTGCTCGTTATCAAATATGTTATTCTCTTTATTGCCTCTACAAATGAAGATTTATAAACAGAATGACACATTTAGCGTACAGTCAACATGTTAACACAAATAGTTTTAATAAACAATGTTATACACATGCAAATTATATTAAAATACAGAAAGAAACATTACATTTTCTCTGTCTATAGCTTGTTCCACCTTTCTTCACGTCTCTGTGCAGTCTCGTCTTGGTCGACGGGCTCATGTCTACCGTTGATGTCACCCCGTTCGCGTTCTACTCGACTGGTAAACCTATCTGTGTTCTATTTAACTCTATATAAACGTTCATAAAGAATTAAAGAACTCGTCTTTTCGCATCCAGAACAAACAATTTTAAAAACGGAAGGCGATATGACAAAGGAACGAAGTAGCGTTCCGAAGTATTTCACACTGTCAACCGTTACAAAAAAGAAAATAATGATTAAAGTGCTATGGTCGATAATCTTTCGCTTGAACGGATGTCTCTCGTCCATTTTATTTCGTCCTGTTGTTGTGAAAAGATGCGTCAATAAGCGTGGCGAAATCCAGATGAAAATCGAAAGAGCAAGGTGAAATATGTCATCCACTATATCTCTCTATAATCTACCGTTCCTTTAGGTCATTAATTGTGCAATTAGTTCCGTTGCCATGACTACTTTGCGGTTAATTTTAGAATGTGTTGGGAATGTGTTGGTAATGTATGACGTTGAAAGGAGGGATCTTTAATTTGTCGTTTCGTTCTCTAGTATTGCCGTTATCTGCAAATTTATCACACCAGTGTAGGCAGTATCTGTCGAGGTATAACTATCACACCAGTGTAGGCAGTATCTGTCGAGGTATAACTATCACACCAGTGTAGGCAGTATCTGTCGAGGTGTACCTATCACACCAGTAGGCAGTATCTGTCGATGTGTAGCTATCACACCAGTGTAATCAGTATTTGTCGAGGTGTAACTATCACACCAGTGTAAGCAGTATCTGTCGGTGTGTAACTATCACACCAGTGTAAGCAGTATCCGTCGAGGTGTAACTATCACACCAGTGTAGGCAGTATCTGTCGAGGTATAACTATCACACCAGTGTAGGCAGTATCTGTCGAGGTGTACCTATCACACCAGTAGGCAGTATCTGTCGATGTGTAGCTATCACACCAGTGTAATCAGTATTTGTCGAGGTGTAACTATCACACCAGTGTAAGCAGTATCTGTCGGTGTGTAACTATCACATCAGTGTAAGCAGTATCCGTCGAGGTGTAACTATCACACCAGTGTAAGCAGTATCTGTCGAGGTGTCACTATCAAACCAGTAGGCAGTATCTGTCGAGGTGTAACTATCACACCAGTGTAAGCAGTATCTGTCGAGGTGTAACTATCACACCAGTGTAAGCAGTATCTGTCGAGGTGTAACTATCACACCAGTGTAAGCAGTATCTGTCGAGGTGTAACTATCACACCAGTGTAAGCAGTATCTGTCGAGGTGTACCTATCACACCAGTAGGCAGTATCTGTCGGTGTGTAACTATCACACCAGTAAGCAGTATTTGTCGAGGTGTAACTATCACACCAGTGTAATCAGTATCTGTCGAGGTGTAACTATCACACCAGTGTAATCGGTATCTGTCGAGGTGTAACTATCACACCAGTGTCATCAGTATCACACCAGTGTAATCAGTATCTGTCGAGGTGTAACTATCACACCAGTGTAAGCAGTATCTGTCGAGGTGTAACTATCACACCAGTGTAATCAGTATCTGTCGAGGTGTAACTATCACACCAGTAGGCAATAACTGTCGAGGTGTAACTATCACACCAGTGTAATCAGTATCTGTCGAGGTGTAACTATCACACCAGTGTAAGCAGTATCTGTCGAGGTGTAACTATCACACCAGTGTAATCAGTATCTGTCGAGGTGTAACTATCACACCAGTGTCATCAGTATCTGTCGAGGTGTAACTATCACACCAGTGTAAGCAATACTGTCGAGGTGTAACTATCACACCAGTGTAATCAGTATCTGTCGAGGTGTAACTATCACACCAGTAGGCAATAACTGTCGAGGTGTAACTATCACACCAGTAGGCAGTATCTGTCGAGGTGTAACTATCACACCAGTGTAATCAGTATCTGTCGAGGTATAACTATCACACCAGTGTAATCAGTATCTGTCGAGGTGTAACTATCACATTATTCAGAGTAATTATTCATATGGCGTTTTGATGTTATTTTCAGCAATAGCACACACACAGAAATAGGTAAACGTTCAAAATGAAAAAAGAAAACAAATATATATATCGTTCATTTGAAATCGAGTTTCTAAAAACATTAAAGTATGTAATGAATATTTACCCATGAAGCTGTTGAACGCCGCACTTTTCATCTAATCACGCCAAAAGCATGCGTCAACGGAGAGGACACCAATAGTCTGTAAATATTTTACATTGAAATGTCTTCTACGGTTGGAAAGTGATTTAATAAGAGACATGAAATGTCTTGAAATGTCGCCTCCGTACCGCTTGGCATTATACTTCAATACAGTTTAACACGGTAGGTAGTACTGTATCAAATCATGTTATGATGGTGGGACTTTGCTGTTGACGATTATCTAAGTAAAACACGACCAGAACAGGATAACACAACATCTGAAATATTTAGTTATTGACCAACAGTTCTGACAACCACTTACGTCATTGCAGAACCGCATCTGGCCAGCAAATCACGACATGATGATAGTGACAAATCACATATAGACGTCACACAATCATTATGGTTCTATAACGACAGACACTATTTTTATTTAAGCACATGAGAATGACGTCGTCTTTGTTTATAATTGGATATTTTGACCATAAAAACCAAGAATAACGAAGACAAATTTTAACGAATGATCTGTTTAGGCCTCGAACACACGATCTATGACACCACATCACATAACCGTCTGGTATGTTTAAACAAGTTTGATCCACGTTTGTCTTGTCGAATCGAATGAGAGAGCAAAAGAGAAAAAAAACTACTAATCCACAATCATAGAAGTATTCAAGATGTTGTTTTTGGTTGGGATTGAGTGTAGACTCTATAGGTTTAAATTCTGTCATCATATCAGACAAAAGTGTGAATAAACATTGTTATCATCAGGGACGTAACATGGTTACCATCAGGGACGTATTATATAGGTAAACATTGTTACCATCAGGGACATATTATATAGGTAACATTGTTATCATCAGGGACGTATTATATAGGTAACATTGTTATCATCAGGGACGTATTATATAGGTAACATTATTACCATCAGGGACATATTATATAGGTAGCATTGTTATCATCAGGGACATATTATATAGGTAACATTGTTATCATCAGGGACATATTATATAGGTAACATTGTTACCATCAGTTACCATCAGGGACATATTATATAGGTAACATTGTTATCATCGGACGTATTATATAGGTAACATTGTTATCATCAGGGACGTATTATATAGGTAACATTGTTATCATCAGGGACGTATTATATAGGTAACATTGTTATCATCAGGGACGTATTATATAGGTAACATTGTTATCATCAGGGACGTATTATATAGGTAACATTGTTATCATCAGGGACGTATTATATAGGTAACATTGTTATCATCAGGGACGTATTATATAGGTAACATTGTTATCATCAGGGACGTATTATATAGGTAACATTGTTATCATCAGGGACGTATTATATAGGTAACCATTGTTATCATCAGGGACATATTATATAGGTAACATTGTTACCATCAGGGACATATTATATAGGTAACATTGTTACCATCAGGGACATATTATATAGGTAACATTGTTACCATCAGGGACATATTATATAGGTAACATTGTTATCATCAGGGACGTATTATATAGGTAACATTGTTATCATCAGGGACGTATTATATAGGTAACATTGTTATCATCAGGGACGTATTATATAGGTAACATTGTTATCATCAGGGACGTATTATATAGGTAACATTGTTATCATCAGGGACGTATTATATAGGTAACATTGACGTATTATATAGGTAACATTGTTATCATCAGGGACATATTATATAGGTAACATTGTTATCATCAGGGACGTATTATATACGTAAATATTGTTACCATCAGGGACGTATTATATAGGTAACATTGTTATCATCAGGGACGTATTATATAGGTAACATTGTTATCATCAGGGACGTATTATATAGGTAACATTGTTATCATCAGGGACGTATTATATAGGTAACATTGTTATCATCAGGGACGTATTTGTTATATAGGTAATAACATAGGTAACATTGTTACCATCAGGGACGTATTATATACGTAAATATTGTTATCATCAGGGACATATTATATAGGTAACATTGTTATCATCAGGGACGTATTATATAGGTAACATTGTTATCATCAGGGACGTATTATATAGGTAACATTGTTATCATCAGGGACGTATTATATAGGTAACATTGTTATCATCAGGGACGTATTATATACGTAAATATTGTTATCATCAGGGACATATTATATAGGTAACATTGTTACCATCAGGGACATATTATATAGGTAACATTGTTATTATCAGGGACGTATTATATAGGTAACATTGTTATCATCAGGGACGTATTATATAGGTAACATTGTTATCATCAGGGACGTATTATATAGGTAACATTGTTATCATCAGGATAGTATAATATAGGTAAATATTGTTATCATCAGGGACATATTACATAGGTAAACATTGTTATCATCTGGTAATTGTTATATAAGTAAATATTATCATCTGGGACCTGTTATATAGGTTTTAGGGACATATACATATATTTATTATGAAAATTCTCTTAAGGTCGGTGCCTAGTGTGTCACATTTAATTAGTTTATCATATTTACGGAAGTGTGCCGTATCTAATTACTTACTGAACCGTGAATATCAGCTATGCGACAACTTCCCGGCCCTTCTTGACCTTGATAAATGGTCATTGGCCTGACTGAAATATGTGACCTCTGTTTTTCACTGGACACCCTCGAGCTGACCACAGACTTGTCCCGGTTTCACCAGACTGACCTTGCTACCCTGCCCTCCCCCGCAGTCTGGAGCGGAATGCACTCACCCAAGTGATAGATCCAGCACACAGGGTCCCGTGAAGCAGACAAACATGTAGTAACACATGGACCGTGTGGTGATATCTGACTTCAGTAACAGAAGCATTTGGTGACTAAGGCTGATGTAAAATCACTGAATCATATCAGAACGACTTCTCTACAAGATATCATTTATGTTCTAGTCTTTCATTCAACCAACTTACTGAGGCTATTTTGCAGTTGTAGAAACGAATATTTGTTTGTAAATAACAATTTCAGCGCCGGCTTTTTACCTTCAGTTCTATATCGAGAGTAAATCTACTTTTTTGATATAACGTTAAAGACAACGAAACTATAGGGACCGCGACAGTTTTGACGGTGGCGTGTTTGGTGAAGTTGGATGGTTGTGGTTATTGGGCAAGAAGACACTTGACCCGAACTGTAGTAGACGGCACGCGACGGGTCTTTCGTATTTGTTCAGAGAAATAGCCAACAGGTTTTACAAAGAGAACCCGTCTCAAAAAACCCTAGCAAAGTAAGCATGCAGCAGGTACTCGCTGACAACATCTCTGTGTTTCAGATGTAGTACTGATAATGCCTCAATTGACGGCCTGTTACGATCAGGTTAACAAACTTACTGATGAAAACCTTGTAGACATAATAGATATGATAGTATTTGTATTACCGAATTGAATTGAATTAAACATATTTTATTGCAAAAATTATTACAACAGGATTAGGTGCAAGTTATTACAACTTATGAAACACTCTTTCCCCAATATATAACAAAATATAGTTAGACAACGCAATAGCCATATGGCAACAAATACACTAACTACATATTTTAGAAGAGAGAGAGGATGCTGGATTACAGATATTGATGTTATTGAACTAGGTGGGTACTATACACATGTTTTTCCAAGACGTACTGGGAAAGGAAGCGCAGTTTTACATGTAAGAACTATTTAAAAATGTATTTTGTTCAGTTGAAAATATTGTGAATTGTATCTTTTGGGTAAAACTTAACTATGATGAAAAGTCTATATTTTTATGTTTTTGCTATTTCCCTCCAGAAAATTATTTATTTATAAAAATTGTGATGTTCATATTATTGTGCTCTTGAAGTGTCAATTAGCCGTTACAAAACCAATGGAAATGTACATGTTACCGGCGACTGTAATGCTAGAACAGGGACTAGATCGGATTTTATAGTAAATGATGGCCTCAATAACAACATGATAGATTCTATTTATTACAGTAATGATTAAAATATTTAAAATCGTAGTAACATTGATACAATTGTTAACACTTCTGGCCGAAATTTACTTTCATTGTGTAAAACTACAAGTATGGGTGTAGTAAGCGGCCGTTATATAGGTGAAAAAACTTACTCTTTGTTGTAACAATTGCACAAGACTTATTGATTACTCATTAGTTGACTCAGAGACGTATATAACACATGTGATATATACGTCTCTGGTTGACTCTAATGATATTTTAAAGTTATAAACTTAAGCACGGGTAGCTTTAATACCCTTTTGACCACTCACCCTTAGATTTGTCCGTCAATACCAGGACATGTAGCTATAGTACTACGGATGGCTAGAATGGTGTGTCATATACAGGTAAGACATTTAAACATGTAAGATAATGTACATAAAATATGTAATGGCCTTAATGTAATAGCTGAAGAACTCCTTGAAATGTGTGATATGCCGTTACGTACTCCAGAAGCATTTCATCCTGTGAATGTGGTCATCCTTTTGAGAATGTCTTTCACTATTTTATTCAAGGTTCAACGTTTCTCGAACGAAATGCGTATTTTAGTTTAAAATTAAATAATCGGAACGATGTGTTAGATAAAGAAATTCTTTTGTTTGGCAATTCTCAATTTTCTGTGGACCTTAATGCAAACATTTTTAAATCTGTGCAAAACAATATTAAATCCAGCAAGAGATTTTGATGCCAATGTGTAACAATAATTGTATATTTGTATTGTCATGATTGTAATGTCATTTATAATGTATATTGGGAGAAGGCGTTGATAAGTTGTAATAACTTGTGCTTAATCCTTTGGCAATAAATATATTTAAACTAAAGAATTTGATAGATTTGGAGCAAGCTTTTGTAGTGATATAAATGACGTAGCTTTACCTAACTGTGACGTTAAAATATCAAAAGGCACAACACATTATCCCCGTCAACATAAGGTGGAGAGAGAGGACAACCCGTGGTTTACCTTACTGTTACGTTAAAATATCAAAAGGCACAACACATTATCCCCGTCAACATAAGGTGGAGAGAGAGGACAACCCGTGGTTTACCTTACTGTTACGTTAAAATATCAAAAGGCACAACACATTATCCCCGTCAACATAAGGTGGAGACAGATAACAAACCGTGGTTTACTGAAGAATGTAAAGTAAGGTATAGCCAGTATGAAAATGCATTGTTTAATTTAATGCTTCTAAATACAGTGATAAACTACTTATAAGTAAAACCCGGGTTTACACAAAGTTAGCATATAGACTCAAACGACAATATCAACGACAGGAAGGCGATATGGTTGAGTTTCTTAGAAAGAATAATCTGAAGGAGTTTTATAAATATTTTTCAAATTGTAAAAATAGAACATCCCAATCTAAAATTAGTATCGATGAATTTTCCAAATATTTTAAAAGCGTTAGCGGTAACACTGGTGATATTGATGTTATACTATACAGGATGCATACGACGACATAGATTTATGTTATACTATACAGGATGCATACGACTACATAGATTTATGTTATACTATACAGGATGCATACGACGACATAGATTTAACAATATTTGAAGCGTTAGAACAAAATTACAGAACATGAAGTTCATTTCGCAACCAGAAATCTGAAAAGAGATGAAAGCTGTAGTGAAGATTTGATTTTAAATCAAATTTTAATGGATTGAGAAGACATTTTTTAACTCCTCGTATCGCATAGCTTTTCAGCCATATATTTGAATCAGGTCTCTTTCCGGAAGTGTAGTCATGTGGCTGTATTGTCCTTGTACACAGCTGTATGGGCAAACTTTTCACTGCAGTTTTAAACAGAAGACTTGTACAATGGGACAGAGAACATTTGATTATTACTGATGTGTAGTTTGATGTTAAAGCTGATCGCTCCACTGTAGATTATTTGTAATTAACTCATTAATTAAAAGATCTCTAAGTAAAACGAAAAGGTTAACTGTTGTTCCGTTGATTACAAAAAGGCTTTCAAAGCTTGTCCTTAATGTAGAAAAAAATAAAATTGTAGTTTTCAGGAATGTTGGTATTGTAAAACATGACAAGAAATGGTTTTAGGACAATAGCGAAGTAGAGGTTGATACTGAATTCAATTATCTTGTTATGCTTTTTAATTTTAACGGAAAATTTTATAAAAATCAACAAGTAGAAGAAAATGGAAGGAAAGCCTATTTTGTATTATCAAGTAAATTAAAGAACAACAAATTTACTGCTGTATTATTACGTTCTGTAGAGGCACCACGTTTAGTTCAACAACACATCTAATGAACCTAGTGTTTTTTTTATTAAAATGATCCTGATTCCGAATCACTATAGCTGCTATCACATATTGGACCATTCCTTGGCTAAAGATTGAAACCAATCCTTAACATTTACTGCAAAATTGGACAAAATCTGCCTGGAACCATTCCTGGACATAAACAAAATGGTTATATTCACTTTTCTTGAATTGCACGAGGTTTTAGTCATATATAACGTGCTGGTTATAAACTTTCCCACTAGATGTTTATGCCAATTGAGAAAATCTCCAATGTATTACTTTATAATGAGACAAGACAAGATTCTTAACCGCGTGTGTCGCTTCCCTGTCGAAATCAACAGTTCCGCTAATTTTGTGATAGATTTACAAGAACTTCTGGGGGAAAATGACCGATAGTGAGATAGAGATTAAAAAGGCAATACAAGCATCGAGAAGGTGACATGATAGAATATCTAAGAAAGTCTAATCCAAAAACATTTTATAAATATTTTTCAAAGGGTTGAAGCAGTGTACCGAAGTCAAATCTAAACTTGAAAGATTTTGTAGAACATTTCAAAGACTTGGGAGATGGTAATATGAATAATATTGACAATCCAAGTATGTTATCGGTAAACGTTGATTCTGCTGTATTCGAAGAACTAGATAAGCCATTCACAGAAGACGAAGTACGTATTGCCATTCGTAAGCTGAAACGAGATCAAAGTTGTAGCGAAGATTGTATTTTTAATGAACTTTTCATAGACTTTGAGGAAATTTTGCTTCCTTGCATTACAAGACTCTTTGGAAAATTATTTGATTCTGGATTTTTCCCAGAAATGTGATCACGTGGTTGCGTAATACCAATCTACAAAAATGGCGACGCTAACGACACAGGTAATTATAGAGGCATAACTTTGGTTAGTTGCATGGGTAAATTGTTTACATCTGTTCTTAATAGAAGACTTCTGAATTGGGACAAAGACAATAACATTATTTCTGACGTTCAATTTGGTTTCAAGGAGGGTAGTTCAACTGTAGATGCAATATTTGCACTCCAGTCATTGATCAATAAAACTTTAAAAAATAAACGAAGATTATATTGCTGTTTTGTAGACTATAAAAAAGCCTTTGACCACATCGATAGAAGTAGTTTATGGAGTAAGCTAATAGAACAAGGAATTCAAGGGAAGTTATTAAATATCATAAAATCATTGTACGATAATGTCGAATCTTGTGTCAAATATAAAGGTCATATTTCAGAATATCATCCTAACAGAATCGGTCTCTTTCAAGGGGAAATTTTATCGCCAATTTTGTATAGTCTTTATGTAAACGATTGTGAAATCAATTTCATTAACCAAAGTTGTCCATCTATTGAATTAGGTATGATATCTATATTTTTACTGATGTACGCTGATGACTCGGTTCTCATAGCTGAATCACCAAGCGGGTTGCAATCAATGCTCGATGCACTGCTTATTTATAATGATAAATGGAAACTTCAACTTAATGTACTTAAAACAAAAATAGTAATTTTTCGAAATGGCGGGCGCATTAAAGATGATGAAAAATGGTATTACAACGATGTTGAAATTGAAGTTGTGAACAAATTTAATTATCTGGGTATGCTTTTCAATTTTAATGGTAAATTTAAAGCCCCAATATACGTAAAAATCACTATAAAAACAAACTTTATCTTATTTTCCCCGTAATATATGTAACAAAACAAATACCTTCCTTTAATTAAACAAAATAAAACGGACTGTTTTCAATTGAAATAAAAATTGAAAAAATCGGAAAATAAACAATGTGGGACCCACAATAATTCATACATTACCGCTCGTAGCGATGACATTGTGCATGCGCATATTCCGCGTGTAAACATGGCAGACACAATACAGACGTCCACCAGTCGCTTCCTTTCTTTCCAATCATACATCAGGCCAGTTCTGAATTCTTACGTTATAATTGTGCGTCGTATCGTTTCTAAACTAATTATTCCTTCTAATAATTTCCCAAAAAACTGAATGTTTATCACAGGAATACCTCAAGTCTACGACAAGACTTCGCAAACAATGTTTGTAAACAAAAACTTACCGTAGACATATCTGCATGTGCTTCCTCTATAAGTAGAAACCTCAACTCTCGCGAGATCAGGTCATGAACTTTCCGACGTGTGCGACAACAATCGTAATTTCGATGGCGGCGTGTTTAAAATGGAGGTGTGTTTACAAATAGCGAGTTTCAACTGCTCATATATCAATACTTTATGCACAAAGTCATGGTAACTATTGTTTGAATAACTTAATTTTAACTACATCTTAGAGACTATCTCAATAATTATGTGTAATTCTACACTAAAGTTTTGGTGAATGTTACGTATATTGGGGCTTTAACAAACGCAGCAACATGCCACAGAAAAGGGGAGAAAATCGTATTTTAGACTGCCAAACAAAATGAAAAATCATAACTTTAATGTTGAAACGTTATGCTCAGTTTTTGATACTTATGTCAGTAGTGTATTAACATATGCAAGTGAAGTGTGGGGATTCCATAAAGCTACTGATATTGAAAAAGTACATTCACATTTTTGTAAAAATATTTTAGGTGTTGCGAAAAGTACATATCATGATTTAGTTTATTTTGAATTAGGAAGATTACCAATGTATATTGTGAGAAAATTGAAAATAATGAAATACTGGACTAAAATCAAAGATACAGATAATTGTGTGTTGAAAGCATGCTATGAACAAAGATTATTAGATAATGATGAGTGGATTGTAAATATTAAGTTAGAACTAGATAAATTAGGATTAGGGTACTTATGGAACAGCAGTCTTGACAGAAAACTAGTATACAAGTTAATTGAGTGTAAGTTTCAAGAAATTCATATATTTATATCAGCATTTGATAGACAATTTTGGGCTGCAGTTTCATTTAAGGAAACCTATCGACTATCGATTCAAGAAATGTATATCAAAAATAAGATTATCATCACATCAGCTCAATATTGAAAGTTGTAGATATTTGAACGTAGCCAGAGAAAATAGGATCTGTACACTATGTAATAATAGAGATATTGAAGACGAATTCTATTTTATTTTAAAATGTCCCTTTTATGTAGATTTCCGAACTACATATTTGAAATCATATTATTTTCGCACACCTAGTGTGTTCAAATTAATTCAGCTTTTAAGTATAAACAATGTAAAGAAATTAGATAACCTCGGAAAATTTATTCATTATGCATTTAAACGACGATCTGAAGTATTATAAGCATATTATAAGCAAAACCATTATTAGATTTGATTTGTAAGGAGTTCAGTTTTTCATACACAACATTGTTTACTCCATTGATTGACTTAGTTGATAATTCTGAAAGATAAGGGGTATGTGCGGATTCGCACGTAAGTGAGTGAGTACTGGAGTGTTTTCACTTAAGCAAGTGTGCTTACATGTATGTGAACATGTGAGGGTGTGTGTGATTATTGTTATTAGGGATTAACGACCATAATAGAGGACGTTGGTTCCAAACAATAATTAAAATAATAGTAATAGGTGTGTGTGAGAACGTACTTTATGATTTGTTTACGTTCTGGATATGTATTTATGTGAAGTTGTACATGTTTATTATACATTATTAAGCATACTCGTCAAGGGAGGTCACTCTCCATATACATTATATGGCAATTATAACATATTTATGAATGTATGCATAATATTCATGTAAACCTATAGGCTGTAAGGTTGGGGGGGGGGTGATGATGTGTGATGGTGTGTGTGTGTGTGAGGGTGAGGGTGGATGTGGTAGTGCGTATGAGTGTATGCTAAATGGATGTATTACATATTATATATATTTACGTATATGTTCTACTTTTGTGCCTATGAGTCGTAAGGCTCGGGGCTAATAAAGAAAGAAAGAAAGATGGCGTAGTGTGCTGTTTGCACATTATCATGTTTTCAAAAGTGTTTGCCGTTGTCTAAATATCGTTAGAAACAACAGATATACAAGTTTGAAATGGACACCTACCTTTTGCTGATTGAACCCGCCGCCATCTTCAATAAAAACATTCCTTGGCGGGTACACGACAGTGAGTGTGTCCTGACCATATAACAAAATATGCGTCAGGGACATATTTTTTTATCGCAGTTTTAAAAATATTTATTTTGTCACCTTCATTTTTTAACCATAACAATTTCTTTTTTATTATATTGGTGCACAGATTAGTTTCAATATGTGTTCTATCACCAGGTAAGATTTGAAAGGAAATGAAATCATCTGAAGTAGTTTTCCAACTACTTGAAGTATACTAATAGTGCATAATTTTGGGATTGAAGAAAAAAAATCAAATTTGTATTGGTATGTGGTTATACAAATATTTTAAGGTAGAAAACGTTGGGATTTTCTGTATTTTCGGAACCAGGCTAACTCCGAAGATATACAAACTTGATATGGTACAAGTTTTGTCCATCATTTTGATATACTTAAAATTTAGTTTAATTGTTGAATTAAACATATGTTATTGCAAAAATTATTACAACAGGATACGGTACAAGTTATTACAACTTATGAAACATGTGTTCTGTCAGCTGTTGAAATTTGAAGTTGTTTTATCACTACTTAAACGCTAATTGTGCATATTTTTGGATTTAAAGAATTGTCTACAGTTTATAAAAAAAATCACCTTATTATTTTGATTTTTTCTAAAAATTACCCATGTGTACAGAGGATACATATAACGTAGTTTTGAAATGATTTTAAATCGTGGACAAAAATTGAGATCTGATCAATTGAAAAAAATACTCCTTTTTCTCCCTCTAATTGACTTATCATTCCAGAATGATAATTATTGATGTAGACATGAAGTATCAACAGAGTAAAAATATGTCCTAAAATGAAGAGAATGTGCATCTTTACAACACTTAATGATATATAATGGAAAATTACCAGATCTGTGCACTTACATTTCACAGCTGGTAAAGGAATGATTCAGGCATCGATTAGAAATTCTCATCAAACCACCATTGTTGATAACTACTTTGTCATTAATGAAGGTGAATATTGTCGTGACACTGAACTGTGTTATTCTATTGACATGACCAACTCCAAAAAATGTTCATAAACATTTTTAGGTTGGTTTTATTGTACTTTAAATGAGGGAAGTTCTAAAAAATTCGGAGGGCGTTGGTTTTTGGAACTCTATCTGTGCATCTCATAGTATTGACCACAATGCAATGGTTCTCAGTCAGAGCCTATTTCTTCATATCAACGTTGTGTTATTAGTTTTTATTTTGAGTGACTGTACACGTCATGTAGGGTTAGAGAAAAAAATATGAGGTCAGAGGCCAACAGACGTAGATGTCAATTTTACGGTTTAGTTCAGTAAACACCAAGTTCATCTATTGAAACACATGACATTCTCTTAAATACGTTATTTACAACAGATTTTCTTCCAAGAGGAGGAATGTACCAAGTGGCGTGGTCGTGCTGTACCAAGTGGGCAGGGGACCACGTGCCCCAAGCATTTCACCTTTCCCGCTCAAACTGGAAACCTTCCTGCGCATGGCGAAGATACCATATATGGTAAGAGTATATTTTTACTATTGTTATAAATGGTTTTTTGTTGCTGACCATCCCAAGTATGGCAGATAATATAAATTAGAGTTGTCTCCCTTTACTTAGAATGATCACTCGTCCAAGTTCTCCACGAAGCAGAAAACGCCGTGGATGGAGTACAATGGCATATCTGTGGCAGACTCGCAGTTTTGTATAGAGTATCTGAAGAGGGAGACAGGCAAGAACGTCAATAGTCATCTTACCCCTGCCCAAGAGGGCGTGGCCAGGGCTTTCCTGAAACTAACTGAGGAAAATCTTTACTGGTAAGTCAAATAATAATGTTCTGTCTGTCAAACACCAACGAGGACAACTTCATACCGTAATGTCTCCATGTACTTAGCTATACTTAGATAAAATGACTATATTTACATATTCACCTGTTTGATAAACGAAATCCCGATTGCTATAATAATTGCATTTTCTTTCGTTCACGTTTGGTCGATACAAATCGTTTTCACAACCCTAGTAGAATTACACGCCGGTCCCGAGATATCACACCATGAGATTCAAAACCACTAATAGAACATGACCAAGACGTTTTCAACGAATCCATTCTTTCATTCTACCTCAAGAACAATCATTTTAAAAAATAAAGCAGGGGAAATTTGTAAAATATCAACATTGAAGAAAGCATATATTTCCTTCACCACATCCTAAACGCAATAAAATGTCGTCATGTGAAATAATGTAAAATTTTATCTCAAATCTGTATACGTCACCATCATATGTTACCTAATGACAGGACGATGTGTTCGGAGATGTTTGGAGCTGACACGACAGCCGTTAAATCAGTTATTCCTTATCGGGGTCTTAAATTATGGCTGCTCCTGTCTTTCCTCCGCCGCGTGCTGCGTAAGGAGATGTGGGGACACGGGATCGGACGTCATACCCCAGATGAGATCTGGTCTATAGCGGTAGGGGACATGAAGGCTCTGTCACACTTCATAGGTAAGTCTTGGCTCTGCTTCCTGGCCCGTGAGGTTGTACAAAAGACACAAGTGAATGACAACTTTCAATACCAATTTAGAATTAGATATGGGAGCCCCAAAAACTGAATTACACCCACTACAATTATTTGACACCAAACCTACTGCTGTTGGGATTAAGTCAAGAGACGTAGATAATTAAACAAATTGCGAAAACAAATTTAGAAGTTTGACGGATGAGAAATTTCTCTTTTTGGGAGGAGAGGGGTAAATGACCCCGTTTAGAGTCGAACTCTCATGACTTCATATACTAGTCGGGTGCTCTTCCGAGTGTTCATATAATGTTATATAGTTCATCATCGTCATAAACACTCTTTATGCATTTTTTATTACCAGGAAGCTTTATTACAAATAATTTCAAATCTGCTCACTTTGTAAAAGGAAATATGTGCTTTTTGTAGGTGACAAGGCGTTCCTGTTGGGAGACGAGCCGTGCGAGGCGGACTGTGCTGTATTCGGGATGCTGGCAATGATGATTGAACATATGCCTACTTCACGACACGAGCGACTAATCAAAGGTACCTAAATGAATACTCTTACACTTAAGAATACTGAAACTGTTAAACGTCTTCTTGTCCATCATCATATTCCACTAATTTCTTCTAAGTATTTTTGTAAAACACGCGGTAAATTCCTCCCAATCCATAAAGGTAAGCAGCAATACAAAGCTGCCCAGAATAGTATCGGGTTGCATGTAGTGTTGATCTTCGGTAAGTCGCGAGTTCGAATCGTGGTCTTCCCGAACACATTTCCTTAATTTACGTATTAGTGTTATTGTTTTTAATGCTTTTTAATGTTGTAGATGAGCTGACTAACCTAGTTTCCTACTGTGATCGGATGAAGGCCCGATATTGGCCCGACTGGGACCAGTGTGTCCTTACCGGTAAAGGTTACGTCGATGATAGTGGCAAGATCTACAGGTTTGACAACTAAGTACGTGACGTCACAGGATCTACAGGTTTGACAACTAAGTACGTGACGTCACAGGATCTACAGGTTTGACAACTAAGTACGTGACGTCACAGGGTCTACAGGTTTGACAACTAAGTATGTGACGTCACAGGATCTACAGGTTTGACAACTTGGTACGTGACGTCACAGGATCTACAGGTTTGACAATTAAGTACATGACGTCACAAGATCTACAGGTTTGACAACTAAGTAAGTGACGTCACAGGATCTACAGAGTTGAAAACTAAGTAAGTGACGTCACAGGATCTACAGAGTTGAAAACTAAGTAAGTGATGTCACAGGATCTACAGAGTTGAAAACTAAAGGAGGTGACATCAATGAAGTGGCATTATTTGCTGGTTTGACAACTAAAGAAAGTGACAACGATACTGGCGAGTTCTATAGATTTAAAAACTAATGGGAATGACGTGTATGTAAGAGGCAAAATCTGCTGCTTTCACAACTAAAGGAACTGACGTTTGTGGCAGATTCTAGAAGAAAGAGAGTGGAACTACTAAAGTTCACAATGTAATCCACATCTTGACGACGTTGTTAAGAGATGGATGGAAATCATGGATGCACGGCAGGCTAAGTTGTTATTTACTTAACGGGAAATGTCGATCTGAAATCACATAATATAATTTCTTATATATTTGTTTTAGATATCTCATACGCTTCACGTCTTCAAAGTATATATATACCACATAACGGGTGTTATTCAACTCTCAAGGCACCAATGGTTCATTCCAACTGTTGTATATATGTTATACCAATTAGCATGTTTTAATTGGCTGACAGGATGAACTTTGACGTTTCACGCACTCGGAGAATGCATCCATTATATTACGAGTATTTGTTGATGATTTAAATTTTGTTCGAATTTTTTTCCTTTTTTCGTTTGAAGATAAAAACCGTTTTATTTTCTAGGCATAATTTTTATTGTGTAATATATCTCGATGTGTTCCTGAAATTGTCAGTTATGCAATTAATTAGCGACATGTCACTGAAGGTCGTATCAATACGTTCAAACTGATGACGTAAACAAAACCTGGGTGCAGAATATGTCAATTCAACTTGAGCAGTTTTTTTATTATGATAGGAACAGGTCACACCAACTCGTGGCTATGTTAGTATTTCTTTCACTCTCGTTAGTTATTTTCATGAAGGTACTTTTTAGCTTTTGAATAAAACTCGTGTGAAAGAAATACAATATACCACGATCACACCTTGTGTAACCTGTCTTTATCACACAAGAACGCTTATATGATTAAGTGGAGCTATGAGAAATTACATGGTTTCCACTATGACCTCAAAACGCCATGGCGTCGTATGCATCGAGAAATTCGCGAACTCATGTCATCAATCTCATATGGATGAAAACACTGTAGGTACCCAATGTATTTCATCAATTTTTCCCTTCAGGTGTGTAAATAACGAATCGTTTATCTTTATTTTGAGTGTTGTTCGTAATCAACGAGAAACAAAATACCTGTGTACACAATATGAAATGTAATATTGAAGATACAAAATTTAGCTAATTAATACTGATCCTTGAATTCTCACTTGACAACCTAGTTTCATGATAAAACTCTTACTTTTTGAGCTCTGTCAATATTTTGGAAGTCATGTTGATGTCGACGGACTATTCCGGGTAGTGATTGGGTAGGCCTCGGTCTTAATGATAAACGGACTATTCCGGGTAGTGATTGGGTAGGCCTCGGTCTTAATGATAGACGGACTATTCCGGGTAGTGATTGGGTAGGCCTCGGTCTTAATGATAGACGGACTATTTCGGGTAGTGATTGGGTAGGTCTCGGTCTTAATGATAGACGGACTATTCCGGGTAGTGATTGGGTAGGTCTCGGTCTTAATGATAGACGGACTATTCCGGGTAGTGATTGGGTAGGTCTCGGTCTTAATGATAGACGGACTATTCCGGGTAGTGATTGGGTAGGCCTCGGTCTTAATGATAAACGGACTATTCCGGGTAGTGATTGGGTAGGCCTCGGTCTTAATGATAGACTGACTATTCCGGGTAGTGATTGGGTAGGCCTCGGTCTTAATGATAGACGGACTATTCCGGGTAGTGTGTGTGTAGGCCTCGGTCTTAATGATAGACGGACTATTCCGGGTAGTGTTTGGGTAGGCCTCGGCCATAATGATAGACGCACTATTCCGGGAAGTGACAGGGTAGGCATCGGTAATGATAGACGGACTATTCCGGGTAGTGATTGGGTAGGCCTCGGTCTTAATGATAGACGGACTATTCCGGGTAGTGATTGGGTAGGCCTCGGTCTTAATGATAGACGGACTATTTCGGGTAGTGATTGGGTAGGCCTCGGTCTTAATGATAGACGGACTATTCCGGGTATTGATTGGGTAGGCCTCGGTCTTAATGATAGACGGATTATTCCGGGTAGTGTTTGGGTAGGCCTCGGTCTTAATGATAGACGGACTATTCCGGGTAGTGATTGGGTAGGCCTCGGTCTTAATGATAGACTGACTATTCCGGGTAGTGATTGGGTAGGCCTCGGTCTTAATGATAGACGGACTATTCCGGGTAGTGATTGGGTAGGCCTAGGTTGGGTAGGCCTCGGTCTTAATGATAGACGGACTATTCCGGGTAGTGATTGGGTAGGCCTCGGTCTTAATGATAGACGGACTATTCCGGGTAGTGATTGGGTAGGCCTCGGTCTTAATGATAGACGGACTATTCCGGGTAGTGATTGGGTAGGCCTCGGTCTTAATGATAGACTGACTATTCCGGGTAGTGATTGGGTAGGTCTCGGTCTTAATGATAGACGGACTATTCCGGGTAGTGATTGGATAGGCCTCGGTTGGGTAGGCCTCGGTCTTAATGATAGACGGATTATTCCGGGTAGTGATTGGGTAGGCCTCGGTCTTATTGATAGACGGACTATTCCGGGAAGTGATTGGGTAGGCCTCGGTTGGGTAGGCCTCGGTCTTAATGATAGACGGACTATTCCGGGTAGTGTTTGGGTAGGCCTCGGCCATAATGATAGACGGACTATTCCGGGTAGTGATTGGGTAGGCCTCGGTTTGGTAGGCCTCGGTCTTAATGATGGACGGACTATTCCGGGTAGTGATTGGGTAGGCCTCGGTTGGGTAGGCCTCGGTCTTAATGATAGACGGACTATTCCGGGTAGTGATTGGGTAGGCCTCGGTCTTAATGATAGACGGACTATTCCGGGTAGTGATTGGGTAGGCCTCGGTCTTCCGGGTAATGATAGACGGACTATCCCGGGTAGTGATTGGGTAGGCCTCGGTTGGGTACGCCTCGGTCTTAATGATAGACGGACTATTCCGGGTAGTGATTGGGTAGGCCTCGGTCTTAATGATAGACGGACTATTTCGGGTAGTGATTGGGTAGGCCTCGGTCTTAATGATAGACGGATTATTCCGGGTAGTGATTGGGTAGGCCTCGGTCTTATTGATAGACGGACTATTCCGGGAAGTGATTGGGTAGGCCTCGGTCTTAATGATAGACGGACTATTCCGGGTAGTGATTGGGTAGGCCTCGGCCTTGATGATAGACGGACTATTCCGGGTAGTGATTGGGTAGGCCTCTGCCTTAATGATCGCACTATTCCGGGCAGTGACAGGGTAGGCATCGGTTGGGTAGGTCTCGGTCTTAATGATCGACGGAATATCCCGGGTAGTGATTGGGTAGGCCTCGGTTGGGTAGGCCTCGGTCTTAATGATAGACGGAATATTCCGGGTAGTGATTGGGTAGGCCTCGGTCTTAATGATAGACGGACTATTCCGGGTAGTGATTGGGTAGGCCTCGGTCTTAATGATAGACGGACTATTCCGGGTAGTGATTGGGTAGGCCTCGGTCTTAATGATAGACGGACTATTCCGGGTAGTGATTGGGTAGGCCTCGGTTGGGTAGGCCTCGGTCTTAATGATGGACGGACTATTCCGGGTAGTGATTGGGTAGGCCTCGGTTGGGTAGGCCTCAGTCTTAATGATAGACGGACTATTCCGGGTAGTGATTGGGTAGGCCTCGGTCTTAATGATAGACGGACTATTCTGGGTAGTGATTGGGTAGGCCTCGGTCTTAATGATGGACGGACTATTCCGGGTAGTGATTGGGTAGGCCTCGGTTGGGTAGGCCTCGGTCTTAATGATAGACGGACTATTCCGGGTAGTGATTGGGTAGGCCTCGGTCTTAATGATAGACGGACTATTCCGGGAAGAGATTGGGTAGGCCTCGGACTTAATGATAGACTGACTATTCCGGGTAGTGATTGGGTAGGCCTCGGTTGGGTAGGCCTCGGTCTTAATGATAGACGGACTATTCTGGGTAGTGATTTGGTAGGCCTCGGTCTTAATGATGGACGGAATATCCCGGGTAATGATTGGGTAGGCCTCGGTTGGGTAGGCCTCGGTCTTAATGATAGACGGACTATTCTGGGTAGTGATTGGGTAGGCCTCGGTCTTAATGATAGACGGACTATTCCGGGTAGTGATTGGGTAGGCCTCGGTCTTAATGATAGACGGACTATTCCGGGTAGTGATTGGGTAGGCCTCGGTCTTAATGTTTGGGTAGGCCTCGGTCTTAATGATAGACTGACTATTCCGGGTAGTGATTGGGTAGGCCTCGGTCTTAATGATAGACGGACTATTCCGGGTAGTGATTGGGTAGGCCTCGGTCTTAATGATGGACGGACTATTCCGGGTAGTGATTGGGTAGGCCTCGGTCTTAATGATGGACGGAATATCCCGGGTAATGATTGGGTAGGCCTCGGTTGGGTAGGACTCGGTCTTAATGATAGACGGACTATTCTGGGTAGTGATTGGGTAGGCCTCGGTCTTAATGATAGACGGACTATTCTGGGTAGTGATTGGGTAGGTCTCGGTCTTAATGATAGACGGACTATTCCGGGCAGTGATTGGGTAGGCCTCGGTCTTAATGATCGATTTTTACATGAAATCTGTTCATTGTTTCTTAGGAGCGTTTATCTCCATCTAATATCAATTTTAGAACAAAAAAAATCCGGTTGATCGTTGAATATAGATGGTTAAAGTTCACTATGATTAGTTCCCGAAGGTCCTAGGCTCGATGGATCGATCTTTCTCAAGTTTAAAATCAGTATTTCAAGGCTTCCATTACCTTGTCAGGTCCCATTACATTGTCAGGTCCACTTTGGAGACTGATCAGCTGATTAAAATGGCCGACATATTAGATTTTGGTCGTACAAATTTCTTATTTTTTGCTGTTTCTCAGAAAGTGACTCAGGATGGATTGTTGAATAATTTTTTAGTTAATATTTAATTTTGTATATGAAAGGTGGTGACGATGTATCTAGGAATTAGACGTTTTTGAAGTATAGCAGTACCAGTTGTATTAACTTTGTGGATGGCTTATTGTCATATTTTATTGGTAGATGTTCCTTGTTGAATGATGATGCAGATCATGATTATTTATGTCAATAGAAATTATAAAGAGGAAATGAGAGAAAAGAAGATATAGAATCAATAACGATCATACAAATGTGGTGCCAGGATCCCTCTGTATGATGTCATACCTTAGGTAGGATAGTACAAGGTGCGTGACTAGACAATGGTGGTGCCAGGATCCCTCTGTATGATGTCATACCTTAGGTAGGATAGTACAAGGTGCGTGACTAGACAATGGTGGTGCCAGGATCCCTCTGTATGATGTCATACCTTAGGTAGGATAGTACAAGGTGCGTGACTAGACAATGGTGGTGCCAGGATCCCTCTGTATGATGTCATACCTTAGGTAGGATAGCACAAGGTGTGTGACTAGACAATGGTAGTGCCAGGATCCCTCTATATGATGTCATATGGTAGGATAGCACAAGGTGAGTGACTAGACAATGGTAGTGCCAGGATCCCTCTATATGATGTCATATGGTAGGATAGCACAAGGTGCGTGACTAGACAATGGTGGTGCCAGGATCCCTCTGTATGATGTCATACCTTAGGTAGGATAGTACAAGGTGCGTGACTAGACAATGGTGGTGCCAGGATCCCTCTGTATGATGTCATACCTTAGGTAGGATAGTACAAGGTGCGTGACTAGACAATGGTGGTGCCAGGATCCCTCTGTATGATGTCATACCTTAGGTAGGATAGCACAAGGTGTGTGACTAGACAATGGTAGTGCCAGGATCCCTCTATATGATGTCATATGGTAGGATAGCACAAGGTGAGTGACTAGACAATGGTAGTGCCAGGATCCCTCTATATGATGTCATATGGTAGGATAGCACAAGGTGCGTGACTAGACAATTGTGACTAGACAATTGTGCAACAATCATAATACTCAGTAGTTTTATTTATTTAGAAGAATTATTGTGAAAGTTATTTTTACATAATAACCAAAGACGTTAATAAAAACAATGTATTTTCTCCGGAGTTTCTTCTCGATTATTTGTAAAACCACATCTAATACAACCAACATTTAATTACCATGGATATTGATAGAGTGATAAATCCCAGCAAGCAACTTCACGCGCGCACTTTATCAAGTTTTCAAAGACATGAGTGTTCATGGATGACTATAAATAATGGTAGTTATTGTGTTATCACGAAGTGTGAGATAATCATTAACTTGTCAGGAGCTCCAGAATTAGACGTCAAATGGACATGGGGTTAACGAAGCAGGACATACCGGAATAGGGACTGACAGAGCAGGATATACCGGGATAGGGACTGACAGAGCAGGATATACCGGGATAGGTAGCTGACGGAGAAGGATATACCGGGATAGGGGGCTGACGGAGAAGGATATACCGGGATAGGGGGCTGACGGAGAAGAATATACCGGGATAGGGGCTGACGGAGTAGGATATAAGGGGATAGGGGGCTGACGGAGAAGGGTATACCGGGATAGGGACTGACAGAGCAGGATATACCGGGATAGGAGGCTGACAGAGCAGGATATACCGGATAGGAGGCTGACAGAGCAGGATATACCGGATAGGGACTGACAGAGCAGGATATACCGGGATAGGTAGCTGACGGAGGATATACCGGGATAGGGGGCTGATGGAGAAGAATATACCGGGATAGGGACTGACGGAGTAGGATATACCGGGATAGGGGGCTGATGGAGAAGAATATACCGGGATAGGGGCTGACGGAGTAGGATATACCGGGATAGGAGCTGACGGAGAAGGATATACCGCGATAGGGGGCTGACGGAGCAGGATATACCGGATAGGAGGCTGACAGAGCAGGATATACCGGGATAGGGACTGACAGAGCAGGATATACCGGGATAGGTAGCTGACTGAGAAGGATATACCGGGATAGGGACTGACAGAGAAGGATATACCGGATAGGAGGCTGACAGAGCAGGATATACCGGGATAGGGACTGACAGAGCAGGATATACCGGGATAGGTAGCTGACTGAGAAGGATATACCGGGATAGGGACTGACAGAGCAGGATATACCGGGATAGACGGCCGACAGAGAAGGGTACACCGGGATAGGGGGCTGATGGAGCAGGATATACCGGGATAGGGGGCTGACGGAGAACGGTATACCGGGATAGGGACTGACAGAGCAGGATATACCGGATAGAGACTGACAGAGCAGGATATACCGGGATAGGTAGCTGACGGAGGATATACCGGGATAGGGGCTGACGGAGGATATACCGGGATAGGGGGCTGATGGAGAAGAATATACCGGGATAGGGACTGACGGAGTAGGATATACCGGGATAGGGGGCTGATGGAGAAGAATATACCGGGATAGGGGCTGACGGAGTAGGATATACAGGGATAGGAGCTGACGGAGAAGGATATACCGCGATAGGGGGCTGACGGAGCAGGATATACCGGATAGGTAGCTGACTGAGAAGGATATACCGGGATAGGGACTGACAGAGAAGGATATACCGGATAGGAGGCTGACAGAGCAGGATATACCGGGATAGGGACTGACAGAAGGATATACCGGGATAGGGACTGACAGAGCAGGATATACCGGTATAGGTAGCTGACTGAGAAGGATATACCGGGATAGGGACTAACAGAGAAGCATATACCGGATAGGAGGCTGACAGAGCAGGATATACCGGGATAGGGACTGACGGAGCAGGATATACCGGGATAGGAGGCTGACAGAGCAGGATATACCGGGATAGGGACTGACAGCAGGATATACCGGGATAGGAGGCTGACAGAGCAGGATATACCGGGATAGGGACTGACAGAGCAGGATATACCGGGATAGGTAGCTGACGGAGGATATACCGGGATAGGGGCTGACGGAGGATATACCGGGATAGGGGGCTGATGGAGAAGAATATACCGGGATAGGGACTGACGGAGTAGGATATACCGGGATAGGGGGCTGATGGAGAAGAATATACCGGGATAGGGACTGACGGAGTAGGATATACCGGGATAGGGGGCTGATGGAGAAGGATATACCGCGATAGGGGGCTGACGGAGCAGGATATACCGGATAGGAGGCTGACAGAGCAGGATATACCGGGATAGGGACTGACAGCAGGATATACCGGGATAGGGACTGACAGAGCAGGATGTACCGGGATAGGTAGCTGACTGAGAAGGATATACCGGGATAGGGACTAACAGAGAAGGATATACCGGATAGGAGGCTGACAGAGCAGGATATACCGGGAAAGGGACCGACAGAGTAGGATATACCGGGATAGGTAGCTGACAGAGCAGGATATACCGGGATAGGTAGCTGACGGAGGATATACCGGGATAGGGGCTGACGGAGGATATACCGGGATAGGGGGCTGATGGAGAAGAATATACCGGGATAGGGACTGACGGAGTAGGATATACCGGGATAGGGGGCTGATGGAGAAGAATATACCGGGATAGGGGCTGACGGAGTAGGCTATACCGGGATAGGAGCTGACGGAGAAGGATATACCGCGATAGGGGGCTGACGGAGCAGGATATACCGGATAGGAGGCTGACAGAGCAGGATATACCGGGATAGGTAGCTGACTGAGAAGGATATACCGGGATAGGGACTGACAGAGAAGGATATACCGGATAGGAGGCTGACAGAGCAGGATATACCGGGATAGGGACTGACAGAGAAGGATATACCGGATAGGGACTGACAGAGCAGGGTATACCGCGATAGGGGGCTGACGGAGCAGGATATACCGGGATAGGAGGTTGACAGAGCAGGATATACCGGGATAGGGACTGACAGCAGGATATACCGGGATAGGAGGCTGACAGAGCAGGATATACCGGGATAGGGACTGACAGAGCAGGATATACCGGGATAGGTAGCTGACTGAGCAGGATATACCGGGATAGGGACTGACAGAGCAGGACATACCGGGATAGGGACTGACAGAGCAGGATATACCGGGATAGGGGGCTGACGGAGCAGGATATACCGGGATAGGAGGCTGACAGAGCAGGATATACCGGGATAGGGACTGACAGAAGGATATACCGGGATAGGAGGCTGACAGAGCAGGATATACCGGGATAGGGACTGACAGAGCAGGATATCCCGGGATAGGTAGCTGACTGAGAAGGTTATACCGGGATAGGGACTGACAGAGCAGGATATACCGGGATAGGGGGCTGACGGAGCAGGATATACCGGGATAGGAGGCTGACAGAGCAGGATATACCGGGATAGGGACTGACAGCAGGATATACCGGGATAGGAGGCTGACAGAGCAGGATATACCGGGATAGGGACTGACAGAGCAGGATATACCGGGATAGGTAGCTGACAAAGCTTGGAAACGAGTAGGGGTATCCCAGGTTATGAAAGCTTGGAACCTGTCAAGCGGGTTATAGTCCGGCGGACGGTGGCCGTGTGAGGACTGTCCACTCTCGCACGCTCAAGATCCCACTGTTGCTTTTCGAAATGGAGCAAGCGTGTTAATGCCGGTCCAGGGGCTTAGGGATACTGTAAGGTTAAACAATTTTTGAAGGCATTAGACGGACCCCACCTAAACCAAATCTATGTAAGCCCTCATTTCTTCATTTCCTTTTCGAGGCATGTTTCAGACTGCTCGAATTAGGATAAGGCATTATTAGATCATGGAGCCGTTTTACTGAAACTAGCATAACCAAACATTCACCGCTACAGACGGTACGATCACTCCGATGGTGATGCAGGTCGCCCCCTCACGTCGCCAGAACGCTGACGTTCGTCGGTGAGACGATATACGGCAATGGGAGGAGTCATGGAGACGAAAAACCTGCCAACCAACCAATCAAACCGGTTATTGTTTCAACATTAGCCGCCCGAAATGAAACTCACCTGTATATTATGATAACACTTACACGTGACCAATAAAATGTGCACTGACCTTAGAACCTTAAAGTTACGTGAAAGTGATCAGTACTTCTCAGCTATCCAAAACAATATTTTTTAAAAATATATATATAATGAAACTGAAAATACAGCAACTCCCTACAGTCCATCTCATGTCTTCTGTAACACGTGCATGAGCACTAAACTCTAGACACGACCAATTTTACTATGTCAATGAAGCGCTTTAAATATTCCGTAGACCCAATCTTGGTCGTGTAAGTGCTTTACTATTGAAAAGCATACCAATTTTTACCTGTCGTAGACTGTGTTGTAAAATTTGACCAGGAACTTTTTTTCAGAACCAAATAAACGGAAATAGTAAAGGTTATAATACGGAAATTTTGTTTCTGTACACTGGAAGAACAAGGTAGGTGTTCAAATGGAAGCAAATGTTCCTATGTAATCTATCTGTCTATGTATGTAAATAGATTAGTCGCATAACGCCGTCATTGAAATAATAACTGGTTTGACAGGTGTCATGCCTTTTTTCACTAGCAAAGCTTGGACTAAAATATCTGCCATTTTCTTAGATACGATGTCCGAGAGATATCATTTACCAAGGGAAAGAAATAAGGGGTGGAGGGGGTAGTTTCGCGAAGTATTCTAAAACCTTTTTGTTAACTCTCAAAATTGACATTTTGCATTGTCAGTTTTAAGCAATGAATGTAATTATGTAATGCTATCGCTGACAAACGAAAAAAGACTCTAAGTGCATAAAACATTCGTTGTTTATGCTCAAGTTTTATGGGATTGTAATCACTATCAACTTATATACATATATCGGTCTGGAAGTGAGGGAAATAAGCGACTCGTGGCATTCAAACAATCATTGTTTCTATACTAGACATTAAATTAGGCAATACCATTCACAGGACGTAAACTTGCTCTACCTAACTTCGAACTAGTTTTGTGTTTGTCCTTCTTCAAACAACGTTTGCTATCCATCAATTGTTTATTTCATTCAAGATTTAAAAAGAGAGAGAACTACCGAAGATCACTAAAGTGTTTTAGAGTTTGAAGCTTTTATTTTCGTCTGGGTTATTTTTGTAATAAACATTTCATAAATTTGGTAAATACCCTGGGTATCGCGATATCTCTTTAAACCACCACGTTGAAAAGTTCATCACCAAATTTTCCGTTCTAACACTCATCAACTCCAGACTCACAGACTGATATAAAAATGAAGTCGATAGAGCCCCGGAATAATTCGGACTTAATCTTTATTATTATTTTTAGACTAACGCTGCGGTTTTCATACTGACTCCGGCGTGCGGAGATTTCGAGCAGCCAGGTTAGAGTGGTCACAATGAGATCGATGACGTAATCAGGGGACCACAGGTTGTTGACAGATAATTGATTGAACGTTGATGATGTTTAACATGATAATGCCGAAATCGTTTATCATTCATAAACACAGCTTCGTCCTCTCGTTGATATATAAAACATCTCCATTCTTCATAAACTAAACGAACAACTCAAACATTACAAATCTCCATTGCTTTATACATCACTCATAGAAATGTTTCCAGATTTACAGTAATATCAAATAATGTCATTTTAACACCAATTATCGCACAACCAAATCTGATTAAATTACAACACATATGTACGATGTGTTTACGTGTTTATGCAATCGTCACAACTCCATTTACTATAAGATAAGTTTGCTTGTGGTATACACATGTAAAATGATATAAATCCCACTGTGAAGTTCAAATTATGTGTATATATATATATATATAGCTTATATACAGATAACGGTGATATGCTTTCAAACGTCAACAGAGTACCAGAATAAGTTCAGGTTCACACAGACACTGGCGTTAGAGATCCATCAATAATGTAAAAAAAGGTGTTTGAAGAGGTCATAGATACATTTACAAGACATTCCTGCAATGGCGCGTTTACTAGAGTCAGAGGTGGAGTTATCTACCCTACCGCGTATAAAATGTGTAAGCAGTTTGCACCTATGAAACGTCTATCAGACAGTACAAATTCTAGTGCTGTATTAGCAAATTAATAATTACTCGAACTTCACGATAATTCAAAATTTTGATTTAGTGGATATGATATTCAGTCCCCTCTCCCAAATTTTTCGTTCTCCCTCTCTCCAACTTCCTTTCGCTCAATCTCATCCTTCCTTCAGCCATTCTCTCTCTTTTGTCTCAACTCTCTCTCTAATGGAATGTCATGTGGCAGCTAGAACGTCGAACCACGTTGGCAAAAGGTCATAAAAAGCACCGACAATGCTATTTGATACAGGCAGCTGACTATACTATCTCATTAACTTAATTTTTCAATTACATACTTGTGTAATTTATATAAAAAGCAAGAGATTATCATTTTGATATTCAAAGTCTACAGGTCTACATTTACTGAATTAGCATCGTCATGTAACAATCGGGGACACGCCAAATATTAGCGGCGTCAGACATCCATCTACGACACTCAAACTAATACCGACGTCAGGTAACCACCAACAGTACGCCAACTAATACCGACGTCAGGTAACCACCGACAGCACGCCGACTAATATCGTCATCAGGTAACCACCAACAACACGCCGACTAATATCGTCATCAGGTAACCACCAACAGCACGCCAACTGATACCGACGTCAGGTAACCACCGACAGCACGTCATCTAATATCGTCATCAGGTAACCACCACCAACACGCCGACTAATACCAACGTCAGGTAACCACCAACAGCACGCCAACTATTACCGACGTCAGGTAACCACCAACAGCACGCCAACTGATACCGACGGCAGGTAACCACCGACAGCACGCCATCTAATATCGTCATCAGGTAACCACCAACAACACGCCGACTAATACCGACGTCAGGTAACCACCAACAGCACGCCAACGAATACCGATGCCAGGTAATCACCGACAGCACGCCATCTAATATCGTCATCAGGTAACCACCAACAACACGCCGACTAATACCGACGTCAGGTAACCACCAACAGCACGCCAACGAATACCGATGCCAGGTAACCACCGACAGCACGCCATCTCATATCGTCATCAGGTACCGGTAACCACCAACAACACACCGACTAATACCAGCGTCAGGTAACCACCAACAGCACGCCAACTATTAACGACGTCAGGTAACCACCAACAGCAAGCCAACTGATACCGACGTCAGGTAACCACCGACAGCACGCCATCTAATATCGTCATCAGGTAATCACCAACAATAGGCCAACTAATTCCGACGCCAGTTAACCACCAACAGCACGCCAACTAATACCGACGTCAGGTAATCACCCACAACACGTCGACTAATACCGACGTAAGGTAACCGCCAACAACACATCAACAAATACCAACATAAGGTAACCACCGACAGCACGCCAACTGATATCGTCATCAGGTAACCACCAACAACACGCCGACTAATACCAACGTCAGGTAACCACCAACAGCACGCCGACGAATACCGACGCCAGGTAACCACCGACAGCACGCCATCTAATATCGTCATCAGGTAACCACCAACAGCACGCCAACTGATACCGACGTCAGGTAACCACCAAGAGCACGCCATTTAATGCCGAAGTCAGGTTACCGCGAACAACACGCCAACTAATATCGACATCAGGTAACCGCCAACTAATACCGACGTCTAGTAAGCACCAGCAACACGCCAACTAATACCGACGTCAGGTAACCACCGACAACACGCCAACTGATATCGTCATCAGGTAACCACCAACAACACGCCGACTAATACCAACGTCAGGTAACCACCAACAGCACGCCAACTGATACCGACGTCAGGTAACCAACAAGACCACGCCAACTGATACCGACGTCAGGTTACCACTGACAGCACGCCACTTAATACCGACGATAGGTAACCGCCAACAACACACCAAGTAATACCGACGTCAGGTAACTACCGACAGATCGCCATTTAATGCCGATGTCAGGTTACCGCGAACAACACGCCAACTAATATCGACATCAGGTAACCGCCAACTAATACCGACGTCTAGTAACCAACAGCAACACACCAACTAATACCGACGTCAGGTAACCACCGACAACACGCCAACTAATACCGACGCCAGGTAACCATCGGTAGCACGCAATTTAATACCCACGTCAGGTAATCACCAACAACACGCAAACTTTTGCCGACGTCAGGTAATCACCAACAACACCCCAAATTCAGTCGGCGTCAGATAACCACCGACGACACACTAAATATTTGCAGCGTCAGACATCAAACAAGTTTCAAAAGTTCTGAAGATCGTTACAGACAAATATTTCCGGAAATAATATTAGTTTTATCCTTGAAAGTTTACATTATGAAATTCAATATATTACATTTCCATAATCCGTTACAGAGGCGTTCGATTATCGTGGAATATTGACGTGCCATCATGACCGTTTCAACCAGTTTACGTGAAAACAGATGCAGGCATTGAGATTCTCTGCAAAGGCTTTAAAAAAAAATTGGGAACACTATTCTCGTCTTTATTTCATTACAACCGGTTAACTGGTTGGACTAAAGTAAACGAAATCGACCCAGACAGCTGAAATAGGTACAATGTGAGAGTTCTGATAATTTCAATGTCGCTAAATAGATTAAAAGTTTTGAAGGAAAAGAAATTTGTCAAGATGATAAATTACTTTCAGCACATATATTCCCTTCCCGGCCCCATTATATATATACAGGCACCAATTCGTGATAGGCGCCATTAAAGATTATCTCACAAACAAAACCCTCTTGTCACTGCCTTTACCATCCTCGATACTCCAAGGGTTACGATCACTTAAGCTTTTTGCACCATTGAACAATGTCATGACAAAATTGAAGGTTCCATGTGCGACTCCTTGTGGACAAGACGAACAGACGTTTGATCCTTTGATGTACATCAAATGAATCTCGAGGTCGCATAACGTATATCGTAATGACTTTGATGTTGCGTAATCTTTGTAATCTTTCCCCTTCAACGTTGCCATGACATGTTCCAAGGGTGCAGAGAGCGAAAGCGACTGTAACCCGTGGAGTATCGAGGGCGTGTCTTTACTATCAAATCCTCGAAAACTGTTATATCTTGGCGATATCCGTGTTGCTGTCTGGGGCTTTCATCACCACTTCCGTTTCCGTTTTGTCGAGTGTGTTTGTTTTACTGGCGGGTTTGGAAGGGTGTAGACCCGTGTTTGTTGTGTCCGAAACGTCATAATCATTCGTGCTGTCTGTTGTCCGCAAACTGTCTGTCTTTAAGGCGTGGATTAAGCGCTGTGGAAATAAACATACAAAATTTGTTGTATAATGCATTAATACAATTTAGAACTCATGGAACAGAACAATTACGTACACTCTTTAACCACAAATCTCTCCCAGAGTGCATTTGGGTACTCTACTATAAGGAACCACAACTCTGGTAAACATTGTATTGTCCCGTTATCAAAGACACCTACCTGACGTAGCGTGCCCTTCTCGTTAAAGACGGCATGTAATGCCCCGAAGATGAGTCCCAGTATGATGGGCGCGGCGGCAATGCACCATCCCACCGTTTCAGCTTTCCGCTGGTCATACCCCACGACCGGGAATGGGTAAACGTACACCGCGAAGTAGTAAATCAGCATTGCCTGTAATATACAGTATACAATAATCAGCGTCATCGTCTGTAATACAGTATAGAATCAGTGTCGGCACCGTCTGTAATACAGTATAGAATCAGTGTCGGCATCGTCTGTAATACAGTATAAGATCAGTGTCGGCATCGTCTGTAATATAGTATAGAATCAGTGTCGGCATCGTCTGTAATATAGTATAGAATCAGCGTCGGCATCGTCTGTAATATAGTATAGAATCAGCGTCGGCATCGTCTGTAATATAGTATAGAATCAGCGTCGGCATCGTCTGTAATATAGTATAGAATCAGTGTCGGCATCGTCTGTAATATAGTATAGAATCAGTGTCGGCACCGTCTGTAATACAGTACAGAATCAGTGTCGGCATCGCCTGTAATACAGTACAGAATCAGTGTCGGCATCGCCTGTAATACAGTATAGAATCAGTGTCGGCACTGCCTGTAATACAGTATAGAATATCAGTGTCGGCACCGTCTGTACTGCAGTATAGAATCAGTGTCGGTATTGTCTGTAATACAGTATAAAATCAGTGTCGGCATCGCCTGTAATGCAATGGAGTATCGGCATCGCCTGGACATATGGTCGGACAGGGGGTCGAACGGATGAAACGCGCGTGCGCTACTATGAATGTATCATCCAACGATCCACTCACAAGGGCACCAGCTTCGCTGCCGTAGATCCGTTAAGGAATGGTCTATCCGAGAGGAAAACGATCATGAAAGGTAGTTGCTCACTTTAAGCTAAAAGTTCAGTGGTTAATGAAAGTACCATGCTAAACTCAGAAGCAATTGAAATTTGATATGAACAAAAGCCTGAACGACGAATTCAGCCTCGATGCCAAATTCAACAGTTCGCTCAACTGTACGAAGGGCTTGAAACAATTTCTAAATTAAACAGCAACAAAGAGATACTGTAATACAAATTTCGAGTGTTTCTGAGTTGGGCTTGGTACTTGGCCAGGTTAGATTGTATTTATAAATCAGTGGTTTTGTAAGGTGAGCACCTGCTTTTTGTAACAGCCTTCCTCCGTCGTCTTTGAAAAGCCGTTCCTTATCGGGTACACGACCGTGAGCTTAGAAGCTCAAAAAGGGAGTTAGAGTTGATAATTCACAAACCTAAAATGGGAACTAGAAATGATAATTCACAAACTTTCCCAAGAAACTAGAAATGATAATTCACAAACCAGAGAACTAGAGAAGATAATTCACAAACTCTGATGATTATTAAAAAACTTACAGAGGGAACTAGTGAATATAATTCACAAATTTACCACGGGAACTAGAAATGATCATTCACATAGAGATGCTATACTTACGGAAGGAACCAGGGAGGATAATCCGTACCACAGACTCATACAGGCGCGCTCTACTGGCAGATACAGGCACTCCTGTTTAACTGTTCAAGGAAGACAACACATTTCAAAATGTTGTTACAAAAATAGAACAATAGAAAACCTGTGTTATATAGAATGCATCAACGTTTCACCCATACTGACATCTATGTTATTTCGTCACATAAAATATAAAATTTGGGGAAGCAAATGAAATACTTTTCTCCTACGACGTTCTTTTGTTCTAAGAAAATTTTGCCTTTAATTTATTTTTGACTGTTTCAGAAGCAAAACCTATCGGCCTATCATATATTGATACTACATACAAGGTTCTTAAATTAGATCCAATTTTGAATTGTTCTTTTGTGGTTACTGTAAGTAGCCTGGTATCTTACTTACTGTAGCCAGTGATGAACGGCACCATGCTGATGATAATAAGGGTGAAAATGAGACGGTCGACGTAGCTGTTAACGACCATGTAGATAAAAATTCCGGCCTATAAACACAGCATAAACACCATCAATGTACTCGTAGCATTAATGTCAACATCTCGTAAACCTGCATTTTATCATCAATTTTTTTTCTTCCTGCACGACTCCATCGTTCGTCAACCAGACAGAACATTAAACAGGTGGATGTTTAAAGATAAAAACTTGATTGAAACATCTTTTAATTTGCGCTTGCAGATTTAAAAAAAAAAAAACAACGTTTACATATAAACATTTTCCTGAAGGCGCTATCCTGCACAAATTCAGCAAACCATTTGTAAGGTTAGATATGTCAAATGTAAAAACATATATACATGTCCTACCTGTGACGCGAACGGTAGACTTATAAGCATGGAGACAACACAAGCGATGGCAACGAGACACTCCCGTCGTCTAACGATCCTCATAACCGGAAGTGGAATGACGGGCAGGAGAGTTTCCCAGATCGTTACTAAATGTACCGCCTGGTGGACCACTCCGAAAAGGAAGGAGATCAGATATACGCTAAATGCAACGAACGGTAGGTGGCGCAACTTGGCGTACATCCCCACCAACAGATGTGAAAGCCCTGGATACAGAGACAGAACATGGTTCCATTATTACCATACATCCATCGTTCCGCTACAGAATATCTAACTAAACCGTATGAATGAACCATGTTTAAATTGTATTGTACCCGACAATTATCTTAATTTTGACGATGGTAAACTTTTGTGTACGCTCCTGGTTTCCCTTACCTTCATAGGCCAGTTTGAAAATTACTAGGTTTGACCACTACGTTCCTGTGCTTACCTGATTTGACCGCGTTATACCTGGTTTGCACGTTACTTACCTGGTTTGACCGCTATACCTGGTTTGGACGTTACTTACCTGATTTGACCGCTATATACCTTGTTTGGACGTTACTTACCTGATTTGACCGCGTTATACCTGGTTTGCACGTTACTTACCTGATTTGACCGCTATATACCTTGTTTGGACGTTACTTACCTGGTTTGACCGCTATATACCTGGTTTGGACGTTACTTACCTGATTTGACAGCTATATACCTTGTTTGGACGTTACTTACCTGATTTGACCGCTATATACCTTGTTTGGACGGTGCTTACCTGATTTGACCGCTATATACCTGGTTTGGACGTTACTTACCTGATTTGACAGCTATATACCTTGTTTGGACGTTACTTCCCTGATTTGACCGCTATATACCTTGTTTGGACGGTGCTTACCTGATTTGACCGCTATATACCTTGTTTGGACGGTGCTTACCTGATTTGACCGCTATATACCTGGTTTGAACGTTACTTACCTGATTTGACCGCTATATACCTGGTTTGAACGTTACTTACCTGATTTGACCGCTATATACCTTGTTTGGACGTTACTTACCTGATCTAACCGCTATATACCTGGTTTGAACGTTACTTACCTGATTTGACCGCTATATACCTTGTTTGGACGTTACTTACCAGATTTGACCGCTATATACCTGGTCTGGGCGTTACGTACCTGGTTTGACTCCATTGGCCACTGCTATGAAGCCAGAGTTACTGGCTGCTTGGAAAAACTGATCAAACGCCAACATGACAAGGACCGGAAGTGTACCGTAGATTGCCAACAAAATGATCCACGATCTACGGAAAGGAAAAACAATACCTAGATACAAATGATCATTATGAGCCTTATTGTCGGAGGACGTGAGAAAGGATACGTGCACGTTTTATTGTTTGACGAAAGGTATCTCAAGACAGACAGATGATTTCATTTTGTCAGGACACTGAACAACTTTGATAGTGTTATGCGAGTATTGCAAGTTAGTGGACTACTAAGGTATATCACCTATGTAAAATGTAGGCCTCTAGCCGATGGCACCATCAACATCAGTTACTGATTCACGGAATTTGGAAAAGATTTGTTGTAATTCCATAAACTTGGAATAAGGAACTACGGATAACGGACATCTGATCGTGTTTCATGGTAAGGTTTAGACATCCACAACTTACGCGTTGATGATCTTCTTGCTGTTGTACAACTGCGCTCCCAGGGACGGTAGGATCCCGGCCCACAACCCCACACTACTCATGTGTATCAGAAGGGCGCTTACCCACGGCTGTAACAACGATAAGCAACGATGTCATTCCACGACATAAACGCAGATATTGATCTATCAAGATCTACTTACTGCAACATATTCTGCAGATTTTTAACTGTAGTGAGAAACTGACTTCCTGATGTATTTTCTATGTTTGACTGATATTACAAACCTTTGGATGAGCTAGATCTGACAAAGTTCTTGTCTCACTGGGATCCTCTTCCACTATGACGTCACTTGTGTTAACTTTTGATGGGATCACGCGATAATGACGAAACTCCCGTGGGATGTCTAATTGATGCGGCCCGGCGATGAATGCATACATGAAAACGACAAAGGCTAAGACGAGACCCACGGGAATCAGTCCATAAACAATCTGAAAAGATATACACTCAAGCTCATTATTCCAACACTTCGGACAGGAAAGAACAACATAATTTGATATATATTCAGTAAACCTTTACAAAACCCAGCCGGCCCATTTTTAGCAATTTAAGGTTCTCAACCCTAATAAAGTTTCAGTATCCAAAATGAGAAAAGAGAAAGTCTGCGTTACAGGTCGTCAGGTAAATAGTATACAAGAGGTACGTCCAGACAAGTGATTCTTTGTAAACAAAGTGCCATAACTCTGTTAATAGATACTCACTTACAAATTCTGACACCATTTTGAAGTCACTGACGTTTTGTAATTTTGGTCCAAATAATCGGTAGAGACATTTTCCGTGTTCTATCCGAATCAAGAACTAACTTATTTTAAACTTCAGTTTTGAGATAAAGCGATGTAATTTAATAGAACTTTGAAGTATGTTTCGTAACAGAATCACCATGACCGTCCCTAAAGTGTCTATGTAAATGGTCACCATGTCCAGCCTCTGAAGTGTCTGGTGTAACAAACCCACCTTGTCCAGTCACTGAAGTATTTGGTAAAACAAATTTATCCTGCCAAGCCACAGAAGTGTTTGGTGTAACAAACTCACCCTGCCTAGCCTCTGAAGTGTTTGGTATAACAAACTCACCCTGCCCAGCCTCTGAAGTGTTTGGTATAACAAACTCACCTCGTCCAGCCCTTGAAGTGTCTGGAGTAACAGACTCACCCTTTCGAGCCCCAGTAGTGTTTAGTGTACTAAACTTACCTTTCCCAGTCCCTGGAATCCTTTGAATGTCATAAGATACGTAACCGTCCATGTAGCCAAGAGACAGAGGGCGATATACCAGACCACGTGACCACCCTGGCCAATATGTTGGGAACGTTGCAGAAACCGTTCACTGGAACACCGCAAATGTATATTGTTGTCGTAAATCATTTTACACATTTACTGATCTTTGAATTCATCATCTTAAAATTATCTTTTTTCATTATCAGTAAAGCCTTCTAACAGTAACCGTGTGAAATCTGCGAGTCTTAAGGCATCCTTAAACTGTGTAACGACAGAAATTTGCATCATTTTCATGTTAACTGATGTTCTCGTTATCGTTGAAACCCCTCCCAATAGTTCTATATCAGTCCTGTTGTAAGCCTGTAACCGTATCCTGTGGTATCTTACACCAGTTCTGTTATAGACCTACAGAATATAACTTAAAATCGTTCATTATATTTGAAAGTGGCCGTAATAGATAGTAATCGTTTGGTAGGTAATGTCGCATTGATTTTAATAAAATGACAATACTTACTGAAAGAGTATCGATGCGTAGTTTGGATTGTCGTCTCGTACACTATAAATACAAACATACTCTCATTAGAATTAGTATTCACATTTCTGCTTGCTGCCCATACGGAATCTCGGGGTTTATTTGTTCGAGAGAGCTAAAACAATAATAGGACAAGTTATTTCGTGATATTGTAACAGATAAAGATTAAAATTAAGATGCTCTAGGGATGATTCATCACAGTACGAAAACGAGGTAAATATTTCTCAGTTGTAATTCAACGAAGCAACGTTTCTTTTTTTCTTTTTAAAAATGAAAAAAATCCGACTTCGTCCAGAATTTCAAAAACAAAGACCAATAACATATTCGGACAACGTGAAGGTCAAAGGGACGTATAATTTTACACTGCTAGCATCAAACCTCATTAACAATTTACATGAGATATGATTTTAACGCGTGCAATAAGATATCACGCGAACATATCAAACTGTGTGGTTAAGAGACTGAAGGCGTTACCTAAGGCTACTAAAACTCCCAAACTGAGAAGGACACAAATAATACTTACCCCAGAGAATCGTTCTTGAACGCCGCAAACATGTAATAAAGGGTATAGCTGAGTTCAAGGCCGTTCACGAGGGACCGGATATACGTCATCAATAATATGGCCACTGCTGAACCTAAATTTAAGAACAAGGACATGATAGCATGCATTGGTGAGTTAGGGGCGATTTGTCGATGATGAAAATGGAAATGTTATAGGAAGCTGTCAAGAATATGCCGATGGTTATGTTTGTAAAAGATCAAAATAAAGACGAAAATCACCTGATGCTGATAAGCTCAGCATCAAAAACCAAACTCACGCGACAAGGAAACGCGATTTACATATTTAGATTAAAGCTGTCTCCGGTCCACGCAAGATATATACATATGGGTCCGTTATCAAATGACATTTTCCCATTAAGATGAAACTGCATTCTCTCTGTAATATTTGTACCACAGTCTGGCTACTAATGGACGGAATACACTGGAGATCTGTTTTTTCCGCCAATAATTCGGTCGTGTGTCGTGATCCCGATTTGATCAACTAGCCGACAAACCATTTTGTCGATCTGAATTGTTGTCAAGCCCATTCGTGGAAGGGAATATGCCTTGTATGTAGCAGGACCTCTTACAGACTTGAAGTTTCTGTGATCTGACACAGGTCTATACGATAGATATTAACACTATATTGGAGCGTTGCATTCTGATCAAACAGTATTGATCTATGATATGATTCAATCGTGAAACGTGCTGCATCTGAAGTGCCATTGGAAACTAGGTTCCGAAAAAAACAACAATAAAGAAGTTTTTATCATTTCATTCGTGCTGTGCCGTCGATACAATTAATCTGATACCACGGTTTAATGACGAACCTGAGTAAGTGACAACATCCATAACGATTAAGATATTTGGTGTAAATGGATTGTAGATGGCCCTCTCACATTTGGGTAAATCTTGCGCTAAGTTACATGTTTCCATACAATAATTCTAATGCTAAAGATTAAGATATCATTTATCCTTGAGAGTTTCCGCCGTACTTAACAACATTTGGTCTGCTTCTGAACATTCCAAAAAGACAAAACACTTTATCAACAATACATTGTATGCTGAATTGTTATATAAAACGGTGAAATCAACAAGTTTCGATTTTGTTTATTACTACTTTATTCGCTGGTAGCATAGTTTCATGACAAACTCACCTTTGAGAATCGGGACAAGATGGCTGAAGATACCCACAATGCCCCGCCGATAGATGGCGCCTAATTTGATTTGTACGTAGCAGACGGGTATACATATCAGGATCAACAATACGTAGTAGGCAATCAGGAATACCTCTGTAATTATACAATGTAATCATATACTTAGGAACACTTCTGTAATTATACAATGTAATCATACACTTAGGAATACCTCTGTAATTATACAATGTAATCATATACTTAGGAACACTTCTGTAATTATACAATGTAATCATACACTTAGGAATACCTCTGTAATTATACAATGTAATCATATACTTAGGAACACTTCTGTAATTATACAATGTAATCATACACTTAGGAACACCTCTATAATTATACACTGTAATCATACACTTAGGAACACTTCTGTAATTATACACTGTAATCATACACTTAGAAACACTTCTGTAATTATACACTGTAATCATACACCTAGGAACACTTCTGTAATTATACAATGTAATCATACACTTAGGAACACTTCTGTAGTTATACAATGTAATCATACTAGGAACACCTCTGTAATTATACAATGTAATCATACTAGGAACACCTCTGTAATTATACAATGTAATCATACACTTAGGAACACTTCTGTAGTTATACAATGTAATCATATACTTAGGAACATTTCTGTAATTATACAATGTAATCATACACTTAGCAACACCTCTCTAATTATACACTGTAATCATACACTTAGGAACACTTCTGTAATTATACACTGTAATCATACACTTAGGAACACTTCTGTAATTATACACTGTAATCATACACTTAGGAACACTTCTGTAATTATATACTGTAATCATACACCTAGGAACACTTCTGTAATTATACAATGTAATCATACACTTAGGAACACTTCTGTAGTTATACAATGTAATCATACACTTAGGAACACTTCTGTAATTATACAATGTAATCATACACTTAGGAACACCTCTGTAATTATACAATGTAATCATACTAGGAACACCTCTGTAATTATACAATGTAATCATACTAGGAACACTTCTGTAATTATACATTAATCATAGGAACACCTCTGTAATTATACAATGTAATCATACACTTAGGAACACTTCTGTAATTATACAATGTAATCATATACACTTAGGAACACTTCTGTAATTATACAATGTAATCATACACTTAGGAACACTTCTCTAATTATATACTGTAATCATACACTTAGGAACACTTCTGTAATTATACACTGTAATCATACACTTAGGAACACTTCTGTAATTATACACTGTAATCATACACTTAGGAACACTTCTGTAATTATACACTGTAATCATACACTTAGGAACACTTCTGTAATTATACACTGTAATCATACACTTAGGAACACTTCTGTAATTATTCACTGTAATCATACACTTAGGAACACTTCTGTAATTATACATTTAAGAACACTTCTGTAACTATACAATGTAATCATACACTTAGGAACACTTCTGTAATTATATACTTAGGAACACTTCTGTAATTATACACTTAGGAACACTTCTGTAATTAAACAATGTAATCATACTAGGAACACCTCTGTAATTATACAATGTAATCGTACACTTAGGAACACTTCTATAATTATACAATGTAATACAATGTAATCATACACCTAGGAACACTTCTGTAATTATACAATGTAATCATACACTTAGGAACACATCTGTAATTATACGATGTAATCATACACTTAGGAACATTTCTGTAATTATACACGTAGGAACACTTCTGTAATTATACAATGTAATTATACACTTAGGAACACCTCTGTAATTATACAATGTAATCATACACTTAGGAACACTTCTGTAATTATACAATGTAATCATACACTTAGGAACACTTCTGTAATTATACACTGTAATCATACACTTAGGAACACTTCTGTAATTATACAATGTAATCATACACTTAGGAACACTTCTGTAATTATACATTTATGAACACTTCTGTAATTATACAATGTAATCATACACTTAGGAACACTTCTGTAATTATACAATGTAATCATACACTTAGGAACACTTCTGTAATTATACAATGTAATAATACACTTAAGAACACTTCTGTAATTATACACTTAGGAACACTTCTGTAATCATACACTTAGGAACACTTCTGCAATTATACACTTAGGAACACTTCTGTAATTATACACTTAGGAACACTTCTGTAATTATACAATGTAATCATACACTTAGGAACATTTCTGTAATTATACACTTAGGAACACTTCTGTAATTATACAATGTAATCATACACTTAGGAACATTTCTGTAATTATACACTGTAATCATACACTTAGGAACACTTCTGTAATTATTCACTGTAATCATACACTTAGGAACACTTCTGTAATTATACAATGTAATCATACACTTAGGAACACTTCTCTTATTATACAATGTAATCATACACCTAGGAACACTTCTGTAATTATACAATGTAATCATACACTTAGGAACACATCTGTAATTATACAATGTAATCATACACTTAGGAACACTTCTGTAATTATACATTTAGGAACACTTCTGTAATTTTACAATGTAATCATACACTTAGAAACACTTCTGTAATTATACAATGTAATCATACACTTAGGAACACTTCTGTAATTATACAATGTAATAATACTAGGAACACTTCTGTAATTATACAATGTAATCATACACTTAGGAACACTTCTGTAATTATACACTTAGGAACACTTCTGTAATTATACAATGTAATTATACACTTAAGAACACTTCTGTAATTATACACTTAGGAACACTTCTGTAATTATACAATGTAATCATACACTTAGGGACATTTCTGTAATTATACACTTAGGAACACTTCTGTAATTATACAATGTAATCATACACTTAGGAACATTTCTGTAATTATACACTTAGGAACACCTCTGTAATTTTACAATGTAATCATACACTTAGGAACACTTCTGTAATTATACAATGTAATCATACACTTAGGAACACTTCTGTAATTATACAATGTAATCATACACTTAGGAACACTTCTGTTATTATACAATGTAATCATACACTTAGGAACACTTCTGTAATCATACACTTAGGAACACCTCTGTAATTATTACAATGTAATCATACACTTAGGAACACTTCTGTAATTATACAATGTAATCATACACTTAGGAACACTTCTGTATTATACAATGTAATCATACACTTAGGAACACTTCTGTAATTATACACTTAGGAACACCTCTGTAATTTTACAATGTAATCATACACTTAGGAACACTTCTGTAATTATACACTTAGGAACACTTCTGTAATTATACACTTAGGAACACTTCTGTAATTACACAATGTAATCATACACTTAGGAACACTTCTGTAATTATACAATGTAATCATACACTTAGGAACACTTCTGTAATTATATACTTAGGAACACTTCTGTAATTATACACTTAGGAACACTTCTGTAATTATACACTGTAATCATACACTTAGGAACACTTCTGTAATTATACACTGTAATCATACACTTAGGAACACTTCTGTAATTATTCACTGTAATCATACACTTAGGAACACTTCTGTAATTATACATTTAAGAACACTTCTGTAACTATACAATGTAATCATACACTTAGGAACACTTCTGTAATTATACACTTAGGAACACTTCTGTAATTATACAATGTAATCATACACTTAGGAACATTTCTGTAATTATACACGTAGGAACACTTCTGTAATTATACAATGTAATTATACACTTAGGAACACCTCTGTAATTATACAATGTAATCATACACTTAGGAACACTTCTGTAATTATACAATGTAATCATACACTTAGGAACATTTCTGTAATTATACACTTAGGAACACTTCTGTAATTATACAATGTAATCATACACTTAGGAACACTTCTGTTATTATACAATGTAATCATACACTTAGGAACACTTCTGTAATTATACATTTAGGAACACTTCTGTAATTTTACAATGTAATCATACACTTAGGAACACTTCTGTAATTATACAATGTAATCATACACTTAGGAACACTTCTGTAATTATACATTTAGGAACACTTCTGTAATTTTACAATGTAATCATACACTTAGGAACACCTCTGTAATTATACAATGTAATAATACTAGGAACACTTCTGTAATTATACACTCAGGAACACTTCTGTAATTATACACTTAGGAACACTTCTGTAATTATACAATGTAATCATACACTTAGGAACATTTCTGTAATTATACACTTAGGAACACTTCTGTAATTATACAATGTAATCATACACTTAGGAACATTTCTGTAATTATACACTTAGGAACACCTCTGTAATTTTACAATGTAATCATACACTTAGGAACATTTCTGTAATTATACACTTAGGAACACCTCTGTAATTTTACAATGTAATCATACACTTAGGAACACTTCTGTAATTATACAAGGTAATCATACACTTAGGAACACTTCTGTAATTATACAATGTAATCATACACTTAGGAACACTTCTGTTATTATACAATGTAATCATACACTTAGGAACACTTCTGTAATCATACACTTAGGAACACCTCTGTAATTTTACAATGTAATCATACACTTAGGAACACTTCTGTAATTATACACTGTAATCATACACTTAGGAACACTTCTGCAATTATACACTTAGGAACACTTCTGTAATTATACACTTAGGAACACTTCTGTAATTACTTAGGAACACCTCTGTAATTATACAATGTAATCATACTAGGAACACCTCTGTAATTATACAATGTAATCATACTAGGAACACCTCTGTAATTATACAATGTAATCATACTAGGAACACCTCTGTAATTATACAATGTAATCATACACTTAGGAACACTTCTATAATTATACAATAAGGAACACTTCTCTTATTATAGAATGTAATCATACACTTAGAAACACTTCTGTAATTATACAATGTAATCATACACTTAGGAACACCTCTGTAATTATACACTTAGGAATACTTCTGTAATTATACAATGTAATCATACACTTAGGAACACTTCTGTAATCATACACTTAGGAACACT